GGTAGCATATCCTACCTAACGGTTAACTTTTAAGTCAGTCGAGGATATATTTTCAAGGTTTGCGTGTAACTCTCAGATATTATCACATATAGCAAGCGTTTCATGAGCATGACTGCTTCTGTACTGAAGCAATGCTAAGGAAAAGAAACACATCACAAGGCAAGGTATTGCATTAGGTACTATTCACACACACATGCATGTGTTAAACATTGCAGAACAGTTTAGGGGGAGGGCCGGTACATTATTCCCCTTGATGTGAAGGAGAACACTTATCCTGATGGCTTTATAAGTAGTATTTACATAATAATACCCACCCTGCACACGACCAGACGCTGCGCATGGCTATCCTTACTGAAGCTCAGCTGATCTGGGTAGGCATATCTGAACATGGCGTGGTCCTATCACAGGCCACCAGGCTGAGACATCCCCTGAGAACTCTCACACCCTTACACAAATCTCATTCTCAGACCTCCTCTTTTCCTAACTGCCATCTTGCCAACCCTTGCTGGGCCCATTCACCCGAGCCAACATGTTCCCAGCTATGATGACAGTATCTGGGGCAACAAAGTACGAAACAATACCGGGGCAGGTTTGTCCAACCAAGCCCCGCCCTCAAACAAAGGGGCCCACGCCGGTAAGGCATGATTAGATTGACTTTGGCCTTTTCTTCGGCCTGGAAATAAAAACCCGCGACCACGGGGTAGGAACCGATGAATGGCGCCCGGGCACTCCCGTGTTTGTCCGAGCCCATCGCTCCGACCAATGGAGGCGGGTCGGGTGGTGGCCACGCTCGCTGGCAATGAAAAGCGGCGCATTCTGGTTCCCACACACGGGAAGGACGCGGAACCAACTTTTATCCCGGCCTCCAATCGCGTACAGGTGTTTGGGCTGCTCTGTTTGAACAGGCCTAGGCACACAGCCATTCCAACAGGTGGATACCATCAAAGGTGTTACCACTGATAACACGTAGCCTCCAGATATGACGTTTTACCTGGACTGCTCTCACCCCAGTTCAGCCACATTCCTCCTTACCATTCAACCATGAAAACATCACTACATACCTGCCACTCCCCTGGAAAAAAAAAAGGATCTTCCAAGTATTTTCTGAGCCTTGAGCGAAATCGCACTGACAGGAAGCAATCTTACCTTGAAAGAACTCTTTCAAGTAGACACTTCGTCTACTTAGATAAAGAACGGTTTAATTTCGTTACCTTGCTAATTGGAAGCTAAGAGGCACTCTAGTCGGAAGGGATTAGAGGAAAAGCCGAGTTTGAACTCAAGTTAAGGGCAAGTCGTCTGATGTTTCTGATGTATTTAGAAGTCAGCATTGTGCCGTGTTTAACTCAATGAGCTGGAAAAATGATGAACATTTTTGTCCACACAGGTCAAGTTACGGCAGTTCTAAACTGGTCTCAACTGTCAGCAGATTGTGTTCTGTAAACACAGCGCTTTTGAGTCTTTCCCTCCTCAGTTATCTCCTATACCAACAGACTTCGTTAAACATCTATTAAAGCCTTTGTACCCAAGGGTGGCAAAACCCTGGCTTATCACCTGCTATTATCAGGGTGGAAAAAAGGCGGGAAAATCAGCGAGTGGGCGTGGCTTTGTTTGAATGGTGTGAAGACTGTTGTGGACAGGTATGCATGATTTTACAAAAATGGCTTGTGGTTTGCAGAAGCTACATGAAGTATGACTGCAACTTTATGATAGGCAAATGTTTTTTTTATTATGGGAATAAACTGTTTCGCCATTTCTTGTCAATTGTCGTTCTGAGTAAGTCCAAATAAAAGACTGTAAATTGTACTACGACACATAATCACTGACCAAGTCATTTACTTCACTACTCGTAGTATTTTACCTGTAAGGTATGATTTATCTGACACTGGTAAGTTTGAAAACAGCACACAGTTCAAATATTTTTTTCTAGTTTTGCAAAACTTACAGGTAAACAAATTCGTGTATCTATTTTTAATTTACAAAGGAAGATATCGAATTACAACTTCACATCTTTAACTATCATGACAGAGAAAAATGGAAATATGTTGTACTCAACTCTCCACAGTTACTGTAAATCATTTCATATTTGCAGTATCATACTATCAAAATTTTGTGGTCTGAGAAAAATGGACATGTTCGTGGAACTACTAGTGTAGGTGGCAGGTGCAGACTGCAGAAGAAAGAATGTCAGCAAATTATATGTGTTTACAGTAATGATAAATTTGTGGCACAGAAGTGCAGGAATATAAAAGTACTGAGAAAAAATTGTGACTTACAGTAACCTAAAAGACAATCAAATGTGGGCTGGGCACATAGAGATACCTGATACCTATGGGACTACCAGATTAACTGGCCCACCCAGATTTTTCCATGATTGTTTCCATGTCAGTCAGTATGCAAAAATCAGTACCCACTTCCACCACAATTATCAAATCGATACTACCCAGCCCTTCTATACTGTCTTATCACATCTTTTACCTATCTCACAACTTCTGAGATGACCAAAGTCTCCTCTTCTTCCTTGCCACCCAAGGTTGTTTAAGAAAAGGGGTGTGTCCTGAGATGTGGGGCTGCACTAGGTGGTGACACAATAGGAGCTGGCATGCTGGCAAGGACAGGAGATCAGCTCTCCTGCTGGTTATGAGATCCAGATGCATGGAGGTAGATTCAACCAAATGGGGGAGACCTGTCACTGAATTGCCAAGTAGATTTCTTGAGCAACTGATTTTCTGCGTTAAAAGTGACAACAACTACCGAAGTCCTCGCGTGGCAATGACAAAGTTTTAAACTCGCCTATTGGTGCCCACAAAGCATTGGATCAATATTTTCTCTCACTCAATCCAGGATCAATATTTAAAACCTCAATATTGATGTCTGTGAAGAATTTATCAAATAATCATGATTTTGGAACCATCATTCTCTGCTGAATTGGGCGATTTGGGGCTTCCCAATCCTCACTCTGAGTCTGACTGAGTTTGGGCTTGACTTCCTTCCATTTTTGTACCGAGCTGTGAAGAAACCTGTGTTCTAGCCAGCTTCTGTCTTTCTGTCATTTGATGAAATTTTGTGGCTCACAATGGTCATCCTTGACGGACAAAAATCGGTATTTACTAATTTAGGGATATGGAAACAGATGTCATCCAACTAAGCTTAGTCTACCAGCAAAACTTACCCCTCAAAATGCAGGAAATAGTCTATCAGAGGGTCAAGATTTCACAATTTTAGCATGCCCAGGGACAGTTTAAATCTGTATTTATCAAATTATAGTACGCTGTGGTAAACTATGCAGCAAACTGACCTCATTATTGTTTACAAGGGACCTTAGCCAAAGAAACGACCTGCCCCAACCAGGTAAAGAAATTCTCTTCCCTTGGGGCTGCCTTCTCTTTGTTAGTGAACAAGAGAGGGGCGTGTCCCGGTATGCAGCTAGCTTTGTGGTCTTGTATCTAGGCATTCTCGAGCTGGCTCTATTAAAAACGGCCTGTGTACCGTGTCCCCTACATCCAACATTTAGAAAAAAAGTATGAGGCAACTGTGTGTTAAAAACCTTGCTAAGTTTTACTTGTAGTTTCATAAAGGAATCTTAACTCCCTGTACACATTTATATCATATGCGTGCAAGGCTTGTGTTCATCGTAATTTGTTGAACCTTGATTTATTTATACCTCAGGACAAGGCCTTGTGTGTTTACATTGAAGGACAGCAATATCTTGTCATTGTATCATCTCCAAGCTCATCCTCAGTGGCAAAATCATAACTGGTTGCCAAGTGTTGGTCAGGCAGATGGCAAAAATTGTTTCAAGTGCCATGATTTTGCCAGAGAAGTATCTGCTTCAAGACAAGTCATTAAAAAGGAAAATACATGCAAATAAAGATATTAAAAAGATTAAGTTGACACTGTTTTATTTCAAGAATCCACTTGTAAGGGGAGCCTGCATGCCCTTTTTCGTAAGGTGTAATCAGGCCTTTTTACTAATTTTAGTCTTCGTAATCCGTAGGCAGCCTCCCAAAAAAATCAACGTAATTGGTACTCAGTACATTAGCCGCAAAATGTGAAGTCGTACTCATTCTGACAATTTAACGTAATTCGTAATCGGCAGCGAAAATTTGGAGTAACCCCTAATCACTACCACCCCATGCAGGCCCTCTTGTAAAGCACACAAAATTATGTACAAGCTGGCCACTCAAATTCCACATAGGTAGGAATTCTACCACCCTCCACTAAGCCTTAAATCAGGGATAAAATCCTCAGTCAACCTCCTGAACCTGAACTTTGCTTCTGGCTTGTTGCCAAGGACGTTTTACCCCAGCCAAGATGGTCACATATGGGGAACCAACTTGCAACCACTGCGGGCTTGTGTCCAGGGGGGAGTTGGCCACTACTCCCTGAGGGGTCAAGCCTGCATTCCTGAGCTGACCAAGCCGGTCAGGAGCGGTCATGTGGTCAGTTTGAGGCGGGAAAAAAACGAGGAATCCTGCCTAGTGCTCATTTGAAGTCAACCATATCGTCAGGACTATTTCAACAATAGCACAGAACGCAAATTAACAGTCCACACAAAACATTTTGCATGCAATTTGGAACTGAACGACGGTGGGAATATTACGTTTGTACGTGGGGTTGACTGTATGGGACGTGCTTTTTTGGGTGCATGCATACGTGGAGTGGGGCTTCTTGTGGTGTTATATGATACCTCGGCCGTGTCCAGGCCTGGTCACAGCCCGTCCCACAACTGAAACACAGACCGCCACGAAAATTCAAACCACGCAAGCTAGCCATTTTAGCATCATCCGTGGCTGTGTCTCGCTGCAAAATATTTAGAAACCTAAGCCGAAAATAAAGAGGGGGTCGCGGATGTTTGGCGGTTAAAAGAAAGCGGGATTGGAGAAGGAAAATGCGATGCAATCGTCGTCTTCGCGCGAGCAAAAATTTGGCGAAGTTTCAACGAAATGCACGTCCAACCAGCTAGAGCGCAGAGGTCAGTCATAACTTTTCTCCCAACTTACCCGTCTCGCCGCCGACGCTCTTCCCTCGGCGTAAACATCGTCCCCGGCTTCCATTGATTCTATTGGACGGAATCTGAGCCAAAAGAACAATTCTTTACGGGGTTTTCACCGCATTGTTGCAGAACTTGCTCGGGACAGGCGCTCGGTCCAAAGTTCTTCGGCCGCCATTATTGAAAGATTACCTGATGATTGGCAACATTCCAAAAAATCAAAGCTCACGTCTGATTGGTTCCAACTTTGGTCGCTTCGGCTGTTGACCAATTAGAGTGCAGCTTAGAAACAAGTTGTTGTAGGTGTTCTCAGTACCACAAAATATGTGCCTGTTAAATCCGCTTTATTTAATGACAAATATTTGTGAATTAGTAATTCTCTACAAGACTGACTTGCGTAAACTCATGTAGTATATATCGATTATACTAACTATGTCATTATGGTTATTCAAATTCTAAATTTGAAGTAGATTTGACGTAATGAATCTGGCTGTACAAAATTATCAGTATAGCCACCTATCACACTCTGTTTTGATCCTTCCCTTCACCATGGCGAAAGTACACAAACCGGGAGGTTTCGAACAAAGTTGACAAAAGTTTACAAGGTATTTCCCAGCCATTGTCTTTGATTTTCCGCCAATTAGCCATTGTACATCATAACTATTTCGTAATAGAGTTACAAAGTATCAAATCAAGTAGAACACGAAGAGTCTAGGCGTAAGTATTTGGTTGCTAGCGTTCGTTACATGTATCTAACAGTGAATTTGAAATTGATCTCCTCGTAGGGTTGGGTGAGGTGGGAGGGGGGTTGACACTTGTTGCTTCACGATAGCAGTTTCTCCGCCAATATCCCAGTGTCGGAAGCTTGTTCAGAAGTTTGTATACCCAGGTATAGTTATTGGATCAATTAAGATCTCTCAAATTTTACGTTTCGACCAAGGACCTTGTAAATTTCTGTGATTTCTAGTATTGAAAGTTCAGCTATTATCCAGCTTGGATGGAAAGGTTTTAAACGTTTTCACCAAAACGTCCAATGCATCATATGTGATAATGTATAAATTCAGGATCTTTATGTTGTTAAATTACTCAAGTAACTTGACTGGTCATATGCAGCAAGAGTGCGAGTTACAGTCCAACTTTAAATGATGCTACTTACTTTTATATATACTTACTAGTACTACTAGTGCTTTTGATAGAGTGTATTAAATCTGAGAACTAATTTGTTTGAAAATTTTGTTCTTTCAGTGCTGCTCATGTTGACCCTGTGATAATGAAATCAGTCTTAGTCTCCACACCAAAAGATCAAGATACTGATAACTAACAGTGAGTAGATCTGAAGAAGAGGCACCATGTCTTCTCCTGACAATGCGAATGGAACAGAAGAGAAAATTGTGCCAAGAGATGAACCGGGGGATGGTGATCTCGACAGCAGTCACCAGGCTCAAGAAAACAGTAAAGAAAACGCAGACACAGCTGCTGACATCAAAAAGAAAGACAATGAGGATGACTCTGCAACAGAGACTCCTGTCACAAAAGACAACAGCACCAAAGTTAACGAAACATTCACAACCAATGATTCGCAAACTCATGCATCACCACCAGAAGCAGGTGTTGTTAAAGACCAGGTCAGAGAGACAACACCGTCCTCTTCCAAACCTGGGGAAGACCAAACAACAACCTCTGAAACAGAATCTACTAATGTAGGAGAACATATGGACAAAAAACAAAGGCCAACACCGGAAGGAACAGAAAAGGAGAAAGTTTCAGAAACCGATGGACAAGAAAGCAGTACTGCAAATGAAAGCAAAGGTGAAGAAAAACAAAATACACCAATTGATTCTGATGAAGGTAAATTAAATGAAGAAAGGAGCACTACAGAAGCTGAACAAGAAACTGCTGCTGCTATACAGAGAACTGACAGTGCAACACCGCGTGATGAAGTCAAGGAGACTGCTCAAACCACAGATGAAAGTGTCAAGGAAACAAAACTCGAGAACCTAAAAGAAGTAGCAAACAGTGGAGAGGACCCTGTCAAACAGGAAGAAGTTGTCAAAGAGGATACGGAACAATCAAATGACAATACAGAGGCAGAACAAGCCATAAGTCTAACTATTAGTGAAACTATTTCTGAACATTTAGACTCTGCAAGAGGAGAGGGTAATGTGGAAAAGCTTGAGAGACCACCTGAAGAGCAAAGGATAAATATGGAAGGTCAAAAAGATAGTAAAGCAGTCACAAGTGAGACTACCACAGCAAAGGAAGATGATAGTCAGCATGAAAGTTTGGAAAATACAAAAGACAAAGAAACAACTGAAAGAACAGAAGGAGATTCGGATGATAGGAAGGTAACGTCTGAGCCTGATGCAAGTACTTCATCGGAGGAAAAAGCAGACGGTCAGCCAGAGGCAAAAGCAGACGGTCAGCCAGAGGCAAAAGCAGACGGTCAGCCAGAGGCAAAAGCAGGCGGTCAGCCAGAGGCAAAAGCAGACGGTCAGCCAGAGGCAAAAGCAGAAGGTCAGCCAGAGGCAAAAGCAGACGGTCAGCCAGAGGTTAAAGCAGACGGTCAGCCAGACGCAAAAGCAGACGGTCAGCCAGAGGCAAAAGCAGACGGTCAGCCAGAGGCAAAAGCAGACGGTCAGCCAGAGGTTAAAGCAGACGGTCAGCCAGACGCAAAAGCAGACGGTCAGCCAGAAGAATCACAAAGACCACAGACGAGTGAAAATGAAGAGACACAACAAGCAGTTGAACCTGAAAAACCTTTGACCCCAACAACAGTTGGCAGCGATGAACTTGCAAACGTGGCTGATGACCAATCGCGTCCACAGACGGGCGAAGCGAACAATTTACTCTCCCCGTCCCAGAGTTGGACCAACGATGGGAGTGTTCCGATTCCCGCGCAAAGCGTCAGCCCGCGGTTAGAATCCGGTCTGGACACGGCGCTACCGGACGATCCACAGACCGGTCGCGCCGAGTCCGCCATGACAGATAGCAGCTTTTTCTCAGTGACTCCCTTTGAGATGAGGCCATACGTCCCCACCCCCACCCCAGACATCATACAGGACTACAAGATCCCCACCCCCGAGGTTCCCACCACCCCTGCCCTGAGTGAAGGGATGAGTCGTCAGCTCAGGAGGAGTTCGGAATTGCTGTCGTCCAGGGAAAGTGAACGGGCCGCGCTGGACAGTCAAGATGCCAAGAGGTTTGATCTGACAGGAGAGGGGATCGATGAGGAAGAAGAAGAAGTAGAGATCACAGAGGAGAAGGTTAGTCACCTTTTCTTGAGTTTGTATGAACTGGTTTTTTCAGGACTGAAACCAGAAACACATTAATTTTTCTAGGACTTATACTTGGTTACCAAATAGCAGAGAGGATAAGAACTCTAAAATAGGATCTAAAATGGGTTTGGTAACCTAGTGTTAGGCTAACAGTTACGGTAGCAAAATTTTCCAGTCTGAGAAAAATGGACATGTACGTGTAACTACCGGTATATATTTGCGGTGGTGGCAGGGGCAGAAGGAACAAAGTCAGTGAATCATGATTTGTTTGTGGTAATGATAAATTCGAGGTACAGAAGTGACCGCAAAAGTGAGAAGATAAAGCTACCACGAAAAAAATTGTTACTGTACATTGTACATGTACCTTCTTTTCTGTTTGCATCATAATGTGTTCCATTTTCTGTTTTCAGCAAATGATTTGTTCTGCGGTAAGATAAATTTGTGGTACAGAAGTGACTGCAAAAAAGCCAAAATAGAACATAAAAGTACTGCAAATATAAAGTGATTTACAGTTACTATCTTTCCTGTTTGCAGCATAACGTGTCTCCTGAGCCATCAGAAGTGTTTACGACAGCTGTGAGTGAGGAGACTATACAGGAGGCTATGGGCAGACAACACCAGCAGGTGGGGGAGGGGGTGCTGGGGATGTGGGGACACCTCGCTAAGGAACCGTTCGGAGACGTCATCGGGACCAAGTCTCTAGAACAGTAAGTGCTAGATCTCTCACTCATCACACCTACTTTCAATCACTCCCCATTTAAATACTTAAGGCATCCAATGAAATTTTAGGGCAGACAGTACTATTAGTATTACGTTTGGCTACAGAAACCTATGGTTAAATACACTGAAACAAAAACTGAAGGTACATGTACTTTCCCACATATCAATCTCAAAAATTTTTCTGCACCAGAAAGCCATAAGGGTCTGCTTCCCAAATATAGAAAGAAAACAGGGGGTTGACCAGCTTAAACTCTGACAACAGCTGACAACAGCTAATTTTCTCAAGTATCCATCCGCCCTGGGCAGGCCAGACCTCATCACTCAGGTGTCTCATTACGCCTACTAAACTGGTGAAATAAACAAAATTCGACCAAAGTAGGAAAGTTTAGACCCTACCTGTTCCTTCTAGCATGGAGGTAGAAAAAAGGAAAGGAGGGAGCTCAAACTTTCTGCCTATTGTCCGATGTTGGCCGCGGGCGTCAAAACTGTAATTGGCACGAACTTGTCAATTGCCCTGATTTGCGTAGCCCCCAGAGCGGCACACCAGAGTTTTCCATTGTTATTAATGTCAGTGACAAGACGGCATGCCCGGCATTTGACAACTATAAGTGTAGCAACTTTTATTCTACGGTAAGTTTGTATCAAATTTGAGGATTACTTCGATGAATGCAGGGAGGTAAGAAGCGTGTATCAAAGACGACAAACTTGACGGACGGCACGGCACTGCAACTATTTTCTAGTAACTAGACTTAATTGTTATTTCTAGTATCTTTATACCCCGATACTTGAAACAACAGGAGGTTAAGTATCTTTGGTCAAATCCTTGCTTGAATCCTTGTTTGAGGAACATGCACCGGGCCTACCGGTAACCACAATCAACCAAAGAATTGAGCGCATGTGTCACTTCAAATATTTCCTTGTGGTAGAAAAATAACAAGCAAGGATGTCCCGGTTACTACAAGAATGTCTCGTTTCTATTTGGGCCTTCGAGCACAAAATCCATTTCTACACACCTCCTCTGCTAACATAGAGGCACACAGCTTGTAGAATATGGCCACAAATAGTCCACTTTGCCGGAAAAATCGCTACTTTGCCAGTTACGAAAGTTTGGAAAATGGAACATAAACATCGTCAACTATCCAGAATAAATATCGGCATATCTAGAAAAAATCACACAAATTCATACTAGACGATTGTATTTGTTGAAATGTTCCAGTTCTAAAATGTTCGATTCTAGCTTTACAAAACACAAAAAACGCAGTAACTCGCCCATTTTTCGTCGCACAACAAACATAAACATATCTGCGTATCCGCCATTTCCCTCCGCTCCCGATGCTGACTTCTGCGCAACAATACGACGCAACCCAAATAAGGAAATGCTCGGAAACTCGGGTATGTCGGTCCCTGCTCGGAGTGGACTCGGCTGCCGTCGCTGGCAGTGATGTCATTTTCGGCTCATTTGCATAACCATATATGGAATTCTGGCGGGAGAGACCGCGGCGAACATAGGCATCAAACGAAGTACCGCCGGGCCGGCGGACAATAGAAACCAGCGGGATCTAGCGCCGCAAAACAAAAGGCCGCGGCGGGTGCTAAATACGTCCTCCCTCCTTTCCTTTTTTCTACCTCCATGCTTCTAGCCTAAAAATCTAGGAACTACAGTGTGTTCTCATTTTGGGTCCTCCACTGCACAACACATTTTAGTGATGTCTGCCCTCCAGGGCAGTAAGTACTGAATTTTAAAAGTCAATTTTCTGGCCATTCTTTTATTTCAATGTTGTAAGTTGAATCAATCCAATCATATGGCATACTGAGAGCGAGTTCATGAATGAGATTTTAACAGGTGGTTTCAAATCTCAATCTGAAATCTGTGTCTTCCCAGTTATTACCGAGGAATCCAGTGTGCCAAAGACGGGAAGTTTGAAGAAGCTCTCGTGGCGTTTTCCAAAGCCATCAACCTCCGACCTCAAGACGCCGACTCTTACGTGCAGCGAGGCGAAATCTACCTGTGGATGTGCGACTTCCAGTCCGCCATCTTGAACTACAAGAAGGCGTGCACTATCCGCATCAACTCCTCGGAGCTGTACTCACGACTTGCCTTTATATACTACTTCCAGGTAAGCAAATGTTACCAGAGTGTTCTAGCCCGTGTTCTAGCCATGTCTGACGTAATTTTGACAGAATTTAATTTTTGTTGCTTGTGACGGACACTAATACACCGTCATCTTTGACAGTCAAAAGTCAGCGTGTTAAGATATAGAAAAAGATACTAAGTGACTACCAGCCAAATGTGCAAATTTTGAAAAATTTTTTATAACGGACAAAACTTTTCCCGAATCTGTCATCTTTGATGGAAAAAAGTCTGTCACCATTGATGGAAAAATTACCAGCAAATTGATATATTTTGCCTCTCAAAATGCTGCTGAGGAATTAGCATTTCAGAGGGTCAAGATTTCAAAATTTTCCCGGCAATGCTGTGCCTTTGGCACCTGACATAATCTTACGTTAAAGAAAACTGAGATGACGCAAAAATTTCAGGCTGGCTGGAACACTGTTCTTAATATTTTCCCTAAAGAAAGAATAAAAAAGTCAGGATAGCATGGAGTGTTCTGTGTGATTTTTTAATGCAAGTTTGTAACAGTTTTTCTTTGCTTGTATTTTTTGCAGGGTCAAACATTTTTCGACCAACAGTTGTATGCAGAGGCGCTGGAATCTTTCACCAGAGCAGCAGAGATCAGACCGGATGTTATAGGATACCACACCAGAAGGTACAGATTAACTGGGATTTAAAAGACAAGTGTATTATTAATCCCGACTGTCAGAAATTATATATATAACAATGTAGAGATTGTTTGACTGAGACTGTCAAAATCTTGTGATTTTTTTCAAAGAATCTTTAGATTTTTTTCAAAGTACTAGTATCTTAGGATTAGCCTGGGTACCTTAGGGAAGCGAGTGTGGGAGCCCCTGCATACAAGTAGGATGGTACCCAGGCTATCTTAGGATTTTTTTCAAAGTATCTTAAGTTTTTTAAAAAAATCTTGAGATTTTTTCGAAGAAGAATCTTGAGATTTAAAAAAAATCTTGAGATGTTTTCACAAAATCTTGAGATGTTGTTCTGCTTCTTGCCGCGTGTATGTAGGTGGCACTTTTGTGGCAAGAACACAATCCCAAACATGGCTGACTTTGTACCCCTCTTGTTCCTGTTCATCACTGGGGTCGACTTCCTAATCCAGACTGCTTCTTTAATCCATCGGATCCTCCTGTTGTCCTCTCTGTCTTTGACCTGTTTGTAAAGCCATGTTTGGGATTGTGTTCTCGTCACAAAAGCGCCACCTACATTGGCTGCATCATCCCCTCATTCACTTTTGTTGTTGAAGATCATTGTTGAAGATCATTATTGAAGATCGTTGTTGAAGATCGTTGTTGAAGATCGTTATTGAAGATCGTTGTTGAAGATCATTATTGAAGATCGTTGTTGAAGATCGTTGTTGAAGATCGTTATTGAAGATCATTGTTGAAGATCATTGTTGAAGATCGTTGTTAGAGATCGTTGTTGAAGATCGTTGTTGAAGACCATTGTTGAAGATCGTTGTTGAAGATCATTGGTTGAAGATCATTGTTGAAGATCTTTGTTGAAGATCGTTGTTGAAGATCATTGTTGAAGACTGTTGTTGAAGATCATTGTTGAAGATCGATGTCTAAGGAAATGGGACTTACCCCAAATTTTCGTGCTTTGTACTTTCATGCTAAGTTGATGATCGTTGTTGATGATTGTTGTTCCTGACAGTGTGGCCTGTCTGGCTGCCCTGCATCGTTACGGGGAGTGTCTGGCACTCGTCAATCAAAGACTGGAGGAGGAACGTGACAACGCTGACCTGTACGTCATGAGAGCCAGGCTGCACGAGCTCTTCAGAAATGTAAGACTCCAGGAATTCAGAATCAGATAGAGTAGTTACTGTTACTGTAGCTCTAGCAGCTGCCTTTCAAACTGCAGGTTGAAAGCATTTAAAAATTTGCACCCACCCTTAGCCAACCAGCAGTTGTCTCACAGACATCAGAATGCTATGGGATAAGGATCGTTGGTTCAACTTGATACATTAAAAGAATGACCAGGAAAAAAATGACTTTGATATCCAGTGTTGCTGCTCTGAAATTACATTAGATGCCTTTAAAAGTCGACCCATCCTGATGTCTGATTGTGTCACATGTTGTGTACATGTATTTAGGACTATGTACAAATTGCTAGTAATGCAAGCAACTGTTTCCTCATTCATGCTACTTGAGAGAAACAGGCTTACAAAGCTAATCAGGTAAGCACAGGTTTGCAAGTGGTACCATACAATTCACAGATGACCTGTAAACCTAAATTTAGTGTTGCATTAGCCTGGTAATCAAAGTTAAAACCACACCGGTTTAATTTTATGGATGACGTCCTTGCATGCAATGATTTTTGGCTATTCTCGTTCTCAAAAAAGAAAAAAGATAACCTCCGACGAGGCTCAGAGTGGCCTGGGTGCCGTACTCCGTAGTCCATGGTAGAACTATAAAAGAGGATGGCACCCAGGCTGTCGAAGCTCCACGGAACTCAAGAACTCAGTACAGTGCTGACTCATAAATGTGACAAAAGGCCAGCATATACCGGCTTGTCGTAAAAGTATGTACTACCGCAAATTCACAATACCAGCTTTGTATTCCCATGGTTTAGCAGCATTTTGGGGGCTGAAATTTTTCTTTATTTGCTTGCATGCACTAGTTTGGGGGTCTTCAGTGGATGTCATCCATAGAATTAAGTCAGTGTGGCCTTATTAGAGGTATTGAAATCAACATGATGACACTTCAAATATGTCTCTTTAAAAGTACATTTGTACACATGTATGTCATCACCACAACAGTTAGAATTTCAAACTTAAGAACTTCTTTCAAGTAGAATGGAGTTTGTACTAGACAATTAATAAAAGTTTTTCACACTTTTCCGTACTGCAGTCGACCCTGTGTTACTATGATGTGAAGGATGCCCTAGCCCTGGATCCTGACCAGCCTGAGGCCCAGGCTATGTTTGCCAAACTGGAGAAGAAGGCGGAGAACTACCACAACCACGCCTGTCAGCTGTCCATCAACGGCAAGAGTAACGAAGCTCTGCAGAAAATCTCCATGGCGATCGAGACCAACCCCTCCATTCCAGAGTTCCATGTTCTAAGGTTTGTGTCTTTTCACCCGGTAGGCCTGTGTTTTATAATATCATGTCAGCATCCAGATTAAATTTGGACAATCCCCGAGCACTTTGGACAAATGTTTCTAACTGTTTTCAGCTTATACTTACATGTAGTGATGCATACCTAAACCCAATTTTAGGTTCAGGTCCGGATTCAAGTCCAGAGGTTTAGGATCGATCAGGTCCGGACTTGTAAGTCTGGACCTAAACTCATGGCATATACAAAATTGCATGTTGGCAACCTTGCAATGTTGTCTGGGTGAAACTTTGGCCACATAACAATTAACATGGAGGCCGGTACTTGACGATGCCCGATGGCAATGTTTTCTTCGTTTTGCAGCAAAGATTTTACAATCTATGGTAGGTTTTAGGTGGTTTGGAAAGAAAAGGGGTATGTGAAATGGTCTTTTATGGTAATAAGTCCGGACTCGGTTCTTGACTTTTAGGTTTTTTTGTACTTGAACCTAAACATTCTTACAAGTCCGGATCCAAGTCCAGTGAACCGGTATGCATCACTACTTACATGGCTGGTATTTTGTAAACAACTTCCCTGTCACCATATGAATCATAATGATCCCCAGGGGGTGTCATCACACATCATTAAAAAAATCTCCAGATTTTCTGGAAAATCTCAAGATTTTTTCAAAAAATCTGAAGATGTTTTCAAAAAATCTCAAGATGTTTCAAAACAATCCCAAGATTTTTTTCGAAAAAATCTCAAGGTTGTTTCAGATACCGGTAATCTCAAAATATCTCACTTCTATTTTAAAGAATCTCAAGATTTTTACAAACAATCTCAAGACTCTTTAAAACAATCTCATGATTTTTTTTAAGTCATCTTGAAATTAATGTTTTTAGTACTTTATGTAATATGATATTATTCCTGAATGTTTTATTGCAACATTTTGTATGTAAGTTCTGATTTAGACCAGTTGATGAGAATAATTTTCTTAAATTTTCATGAAGCTTGTCAATGGTAGATTGACCTCATTCATTTGACAGTTTTTTACTGTCTTTCAGTCCTCTTTGTGACTTGGGCTGAATTTATTTTTTATTTGCCCGCGCGCACTAGTTTGGGGGTCTTTAGAGGATGTCTGTCGTCTATAAAATTAAGTCAGACTGAGTGTGGCCTTATTCAGTTTTCTTACCTTGTTCACTACTACACCTCCAGAGGTGCCACACACCGTCGTCTGGGTGACTTCAACTCAGCCATCGATGACTACCTGCTGGCCCTGGACAAGACTGACCACAACGAGCAGGACCCTACGTACATGGAGGGGCAGCGACAACTGCTCCTGACGTACAACGACTTCGCGGTGGAGTGTTTCCAGAAGGGATTCTACGACGAGGCTATCATTCTGTTGAACAAAGCCATCAAGGGAGAAAAGAGGGAGAAAGGATTGTACATCAACAGAGGAGGTAAGGGAATCTGTATCTGTATAGCCGGTATAACCGCCTTTCGGCGTAACACACCAGTTTCACAGGCACGCGGCGCGGTGGCAGCTCTTTACATTACATTTACATTACACCGATCGAATTGTTACACCTAACCCTTTAACATCTAACTCTAGACTTTGTTTAAAGGTATCTAATGACAATGCCCCTACTGTACTTGGTGACAGCGAGTTCCACTCTGCGATAGTGAATTCTTGAACGCCTCAATCCTTGCTTGATAACTCTGGTACTTGAATGGATGAAAACATAGCATTGCACAGTTACCATGGCTTGAAATACTGGGTGCATGTGCACCTTGCTACTACTACTACTATCAGTCAGTCTCAAAAGATGACTTAGTGCACTTAGTACACCCAAATATAATGATCATAGAATTTGCTGCATATTCGTAGCATTTACAGCATATTCTTGACAAGTGTCAGAAAAATAAGAAAATAACTTGTAGTTTTTTTTTTTAGAAATGAAACTTAATTAGTATTTTCTATTCTATTTATTCATTCTATTTATTCATTCTATTTAATCAAGGAGGTTGATTTAATTCAATATTTTATATGGTAAGGTGCAGCTGTTCCCAAAAATTGATTTTGAGCCCTGGTTTCAGTGAATTCTTCATCTTGCTGGTAAGTCACCGAATAAAGTTCATACTTTTTGACAGAAACTGAAGTGACAGTGAAAACAGTGAACATTAAAAAAATTGCCATTGAAAAAAGTACAATAAATGTATCATGAAAATTCATTATCAAAAATTAAGTTGTGATTTTTTTTCCAGATTGTTTCTTCAGACAAGGAGATCTTCACTTTGCCCTGGCGGACTATCACCAGGCCCTGGAGCTGGACCCTGAGGACTGGGCGGTCAGGTCCAGGATAGCCGTCGTACACAGCGAGTTCGGCGTGCTCGACTACGAAGAGAGAAACTACCAGGTGAGACCACACTGACTTAATTTTATGGATCACATCCTCTGAAGACCCCCAAACTAGTGCGCGCGGGCGAATAAAAAGATTCCAGCCAAAAAAGAAATGCTGCTAAACCACAGGAATACAAACTTTGGTATTGTAAAATTTGTGGTTACCGTTAGTACATAGCAACTTGTATTTACTAGTATTTATTTACGAAGATTTACCACATTTGTGGAAGGATTGACATAACAGGTGACTATCACCTCTTCAAGATGTCAAACCTGAGACCAGACTGTAAGGTTTGAACCATTCACACTGGGAAGGTCCCCGATGACAAGCATGCTGGCCTTTTGCAGAATTTATGAGTCGGCACTATACTGAGTTCTTGAGTTCCGTGAAGCTTCGTCAGCCTGGGTACCATCCTCTGTAGTTACTGCCAGCTCCCTATTGTCTCCAGCTACCATGGACTATGGAGAATGGCACACAGGCCAGAGCCAGAGAACCCGTTTTAAATGCTCCCTTACTCCTAAATTATGTACTAGATGTTTTTGAAAAAAAGCTATAGTGAGATGTTGTAACCTCCATTACAGGTATTATAGAATAAGTCTTTTGGTTGACGTTATTTGTGTCTTCCCTCTGCAGGAGTCGGAGACTCGATTCAGTCTGGCCATCCAGAACAACCCCAAGGTCGCACGTTTCTATGTCTACAGGGCACGGGCCAGGTACATGATGGAGGTGAGAACTTTTTATCACATCATCATCACATCAGGAGAGAAAAAAACCCACAACCAATCTGTCATTTCTGACAAAAAATTTTTCAGAATTTCGGTAAAGGTGGCAATGTGGTCTTGTAGTTAGGGTTGTTGACTCAGATTACAAAGGTTCTGAGTCCGAATCCGTGGCAGGCCTCTTTGTTATGTCCTTGGGAAGGGCACTTTACACCTACACGTATTTCCTCACTTGACTCTTAGCTTCAGTTAGGGACGTCCTCTCAGATAGGACGTAAAGCCGGAGGTCCATGTTTAAGGCGAGACACATCTCAAGCATGTCTATGAGTGGTCTGTTCAAATGTCTATTATTCATCGATGTACCAGGGCTCAAAATACTGGGTGCATGTGCACCTCAGTGCACCCAAATTTGGAGCTGTGCACCCAATTTTTTTCTGTGGGTGCACCAGTGCACCCAAATACTTTCTTAGGTTTTCATATACATGTACTATCAATGATATAATGTAAAGAATAAAAAAAGATGTTAAATGCATTAGTGTACAGCATATCAGATGAATAATAAAATTATTGTTGTAGTACTTTTCTTTAGAAATGAAACATACCAGTATTAGTTTTTGATGACATTATACTTATTTCATTTTATATGGTGCACCCAAAATAATTTTTGTGCACCCAATTTTTTAGGTTGGGTGCACCAGTGCACCAGTGCACCTATTTCCAAAAATGAATTTCGAGCCCTGTACTCTGAACTTTGTATTTGATCCATTTCTTCAGAACATACGCGGAGCGCGGGAAGACATCCTGATGTCGCTGCACCTGGACCCAAGCAGCGATGAGATCCTGTCCATCCTGTCCCGCCTGTTCCCGGGGAAGAGCGTCGGGGAAGTGATGAAGAGCAAAGCTGCGAAGGCTGCCAAGCTGACGCTGGACCAGATGTTGTACATGGCTGCTGCACCCTCACACAGGCTGCCTCCTGTCGACAGGTACAGTTTTCTTTTCCTCCTTCTTTATTTATTTTTTTCAAACACAGTCAAATGTGTCAAACTTGATAACTATACTGCTTAAGTAATGTAATCTTAAGTAAAAAAGGAAGACTGTTTTCAAAAATTGACACAATTATGTTTTACACCAACTTAGTTATCCTAATGTTCTATTCATACCTAAAAGGATGCTGTCACACATATTATACATGTTTGTGTAAATAAAATTGATCTTATATATCCAGTTTTAGCTCACTGAAGAGCTAATCTTCCAAGTTGGTCGTGACAGAGAAGATACTATTAGATGTTATGTATAGTATTTATGGGTTCATTCTATACTTTTCGGCAAGCACAATTAACAGGTGTGTTACACCGAAGGGCGGTTATACCGGCTCTACAGATACAGATACAGAACAGTGGACCACAGCTTAATGTCTCATCCTAATCCTAAAGACTATGACCGTTTCCAGTAGCATGTATGTGGGGAGAGCCTCAACAGCCAGGATTCAAACTCCCAACCTGTTGGTCCAGAGGGAGGGTCGCTAACCACAGCTGGACTATAAAAAACCTAGACTACGTATAAAAGAAAATGTCAGAGAACACCCCTTCACCTGTCATAATTTGCTTCTCTCCAACAGAAGCCAGTCTGCACCTGAACTGTCTCTGGCTGTTGACTCATCAGCCGACACCACAGACAAGGGCATACAGGTGTCGGAAGAACCTTACACGACAAAAGACACTCCAAAGAAGAAGAAGACCCTCGTCAAAGGCCCCTTCTCTGGGTCAAAAGTCAAGAGGATCCCTATCCTCCCAGACCTGAAAATGTGCATGGAAGAGAGAGACTTTCATATGCAGATAGCAAAGGGCAAGAAAAAGGTAACAGTTAGAACAAGAAATCAGAGATTTCAAACTTCTAGATATAGTCTTACTTATACGATTGTATTCATACTCTACTCTATTACACCATCATGGTATAATTATGTTTCATACATTCCTGATTGACCAGATCCTTTAACCAGGGAAGTACCAGGTCAAACCTCGTCAATCAAATGAAACCCAATCTCTGCCCACTCACTTCGAATTCGGACCCCAAACATACAAACCTAGCATAAAATAACACCACCCAAAACAATACTTCCATCCCTGAAGTAACAATATTTTCACATATATACATTTGAGAAGTGTATGTTGCCATGCACCTCTGTCATTGCTACATAACACTTACTGTAATGCTTGACAATGTTACATTCAATTTAACATGATATTTAATATAATTACATGTTGACCTGTTTCCTTTTTCTTTCAGATCACTGTGGGTCTGAAGAAGGTGTTGAAGGAAAGGAAGACCCTGAAGTACAAGGGTGCACGTTTGAGACGTCTTCCTCCACCAACCAGGACAAAGAGTGCAGAGAGCGATGAACCGTCCATATCCCAGTGGAGAAACATCCAGCCTAAAGTCGGCCTGGGGCTACTAGACGGATAAACATGCTAAAAAAATGCTAAAACAGCAAATTGATTGAACATACGTTGAGAGAAATAGTTTGTATTATTATCATGATGATAGCTTTTGGTATGGTGACTGTAAACATAAAGTGAATTACACACAATGACAGTGAGCCAAAATAGGTTGTCACCCAAGCAGTTTGTACAGTTGTATAGGTCCAGATTTCTATTCCTCAAAGTTTATAACTTGGTATAAAAAAAAGCAGTTTCCATGAATTGAAGGGAATTAGGATTTTCACAGCTGCTATTATATGATAAATATACTGTACATGTAGAAGATGTAATGTTCACTGTCAGCTTTATCAGTCAAGCATTCAAAATGTTGATGAAAAACAAAAGCCAGCACAGGTTTCACTGCTTGTATAGAATTTCCAACTAGGAGAAGAATTTTTTTTTGTTATATATGAATGTTTGAGAATAATTTTGTACAGTTAATGTAGTAGTCACGTAATCACCTCAAAGAATGTGCTATTCCTCAACTGTTATCCCTGTCACACATTCAGAACCTTCCCCCTGAACATTATACAGTCTCCATCCCTGGCGACTTTCGTCTCGAAGGTGTCAAACTTTGCCTAAACACATACTAGTATATGGTGACCTCTGACCCGTTACAAATGTCAGTAATTGCCGGAGCGACAGCAGCCGGACATTAACGGAAGAAGAAGAAACACCAGCCGACCACAAGGTGGGCTGAAGTTTGGGATCAGTCTGACCAGATTTAGGCCACACCTACCTTTCTAGGGGAATCAAATCGAATTTGAGTTAAATTTTAGTCAAATCTAGCTGCCAAGCACTTTGAGATTTTAACCTCCTTGGTATGGCAGGGGCTTTAGCTGACACACAAGATTGACATATCATTACTTTGTTATGTACATTGTAAACATTGATATTATGTATGACTGTAAAATATCTCCATCCACTAAGTGTTCAATCATCTTTTATTGTCATCATCATCGGTCGACCGTATTGGTTGGGGTTATACCGCCCCTTACGAGGTGGCATACCCTTTCGTTAGCTTAATACAAGACGGGGTTCGCCACGCCTCCGTCTGGGTGATGATGTAATCACCATGTGTTTTGTGTAATCACCATCTTTTATTGTGAAATTCAATATTTCTGGCTTCAAGCCATGTGCTGTAAAGGACTTTAGGACTTTGTGTTACAGCATGTAGCAAACATTTATGACTATATAATAAGGACCATGTTGGCATTGTGGGATATTTTCAGTGGCAAGCTGTTGCTTTCATTGAATAAACATGTAAGCTGTCACTTCCAGTTATGTGTGAATAACCCTGGCTCATGAATTACTTAATATACAGTCACACATCCTCGTAAAATACCTTGTAAAATCAGCTTACACACCATCTTACACAATCTTTTGTACCAGTAAGACAAATTGGACAAATTGGTAAAACCACCAAATGAATTTGAAATCTTTATTCCATTGGTTTGGTTGACCAGACCAGGGTAGCACAACTAGCCAAAGGCTGCTAAATGTGCTTGTCCTGTCTGGTAGCAAGTACAGAGGAACTACATTGGACCGTAAAATTACACATAATATATTATCAGGACACAGAATTCAACTTAAGATTAAAAGATGATGTAAAAGTCCTTTATATATGTTTTGTTACCACACTGAAGTTTCCATTCACCTTTCTACTACTAGTACATAATCACAAAAGGGCTGCAACATACTTCATTTCATATTACTTTATGTGACCAATTCCATGTCAAGAAATGAATGAAAAATTAATTCAAAAGCAACATTTTGATAAATTACATGATCAAAAGACCCTTATCAGACATGAGTGCTTTTCTATATTCTAAATATTGCCAAAATTCTAGGAATCTGTAACATCACAGCAGCAGTTCCTGTATTAATTTAAACAGTCTGACAGTAAAGTTTTTATGTAGCAGCAAGATTTAGATAATCTGCATTCCTGATCACATTGTCTTGGCATCCATGTGTCTTGTACACCCCTAAATTGGCAATATTATAGTTTATACTCTGACTAGTAGTCTTTACACATCTTTCTTCCATACATTTTTGGATTTAAAAGACATATGACAAGAATTCATTAATTTTAATGTTTCAATTATGTATAATGACTCTGACTAAATATAACATTGATTTATTCCCGTACATTGTATTAATACATGTATATTACAACAGTTGGCAACTAGAATTGTGTGATCCCTTATACTGTATGTAAATTATATGATAATGATTATATCTCTCACATTTGTTGTGAAATGACAACGATCATCAGAATAGCAACATCTTTGTTCCCTCCTTCATTCCATTGCTAGTTATCTACAACTTCTGGTTTCCTTATAGTTGTTCACTTCTTTACGTTTACCTTCGCAGAAGGAAAATTGATTTTCCTCGGTTTCTTCTAATTTCTTTTCCAAACACCTATTAAAGGTCAATGACCTGGACTAGCCGTCTGTCACCATGGTAACTTGTGCTGTAGCAACACTCTGTGGTGTTGGGTTACATTGTGAGGCAGAACAGAGTTGGAGGGGCTGGACACATGTGTTTGTCAATGAGTAAGAATAAACAGAGCGGTAGGATAGACCATGTGAAGGTAAACATTATGCGTAATGTTACCTTTCTAACTGTTACTACATTTGATCATAAATTCGTAACATAATTAATTTCAGTAACCTTATAATATTCAACTCCATATCACATTAGACTTTAAGAATGGCCACCCCTACAGAGCAGCATAGAATTCCATTATATTGATGTGACATTGCACCTTCAAGTGGCTAAATAAACGCAATCAAGACAGTATGACTTAGTATTGTTTGATAGTCCTTAACTGATGTACATGTACAGTACAACATCTAATGCTAGGCTCATTGACTTTCTCATAGACATTCAGTAGTACATTTATATGACATCAGGCCATGTTGATTTGATTATATGGATGACATCCATGCGCACATGAATTTTTGCCTGTTTCCAAAGAAAAGTTTTCAACCATACGTCTGTAAATTGTACAAAGCAGCTGCAAAATAAGCAAATATATGCCTTAAATTGAGAAAAAAAATCGAAAATGATACTAATGTCGTAGAGTGCCAAAATCAATTCCAAAGGAAAAGAAGAAAATGTGAAGAAAGAAAAATTTGAAAATTAAGAGTCTATTTTTACGCCATACCATACTCTGTGTGTTTAGTCATTTGTTCAACCTTTATGACCTGATAGATTTCATAATGAAGGCAACTTTTTTTCCCAAATTTTTCTTTTTATTCGCACGCTTGCATCAGTTTTAGGGTTCCCAGAGGATATCTTAGTATATAATTAAATCAACATGGCCTTATTGTTTAAAAATGACATAATATTATGTAACGCAGTACAATCAAAACTGAAGTATTTTCTTTCTAGAAGAAACACTTCAATACTCTAATATGACAACATAGTTACATACAATCGATCCAAAGAGAAGTGGCTCAGATAAAAAAAAAACAGACAGTTCAACAGTGCAACAATACAAACTAACTTAGCTTAGTAATGTAACGGCAGTGCAGCTTACTGCATATACTAAACAGTCTGTTTAACCAGGGTTGGACAAGTCCAATTGCCCACTTGCCCAGGGCAAGTAAAAGTACTGTTCGGGCAAGTGAATATGACCCGGCAAGTAAATTTTTTGGATGTGGCATTATGCACAGTGTTTGGAGCAAAATTACTCATCATTTTCCCATAATGTATTCCCATAATATCTCATTGATGTCAGTCAAAAGTATGACTCTTTTGGTCAGAGAATCATTTGCAAGTCTCAAACCTCTTTATTTTGGTAAATAATGGTCAAACATAGAACAATATAAAAGGCTTTTTACTGAAAAATTTTCCTTGCACTTGTTGCAGTAAAAATTTATATTTTGCATTGGGCAAGTGAAAAGTTTGTTCGGGCAAGTAGAAATGACCATGTGCTTTCCCGATAAGGCAAGTGGATTTTTGAAAACTTGTCCAACCCTGTTAACATTTCTTTATAGAATTAAATTGCAATGTCTTCACCTTTTCCTAGATGACAGTTGGCATGTATTTTTCTCTTCATTGCAAGTTATTGTCAAAGAAGAACATTACACAGTGTCAAAGTATGCACTGTTTAGATTGTTTTCCATGGACTTACATGTATGTAGGAAAACTTTTCCGTCTAAAAGTTCACCGTGTCAATCCTTTGACACACTACAAAGAATGCACTGTTTTGACTGAATATCCACACAGTTATGTATGTTGGAAAACTTTTCAGTCCAGATACTAGTCACTCGCACCGTCTGGTTTATTGTTGAATCAACTTTATAGATGACACAAGTTTTCTGTGTTGCTCTTTTTATATCATAGTCTTAATATTTGCACCATTATTCACATGTATCTACAAATCTACACTGTACAATCTCAGGTACAACTGACATTACTGCCACAAAAGTGGCAACATACCAGATATTGCATTGATACTGCATTACTTTTTAAATATTAAACTGCATGCATCCGAACAGAATGATTATCATAAGGAGCAGCAAATTTAAGAGTTGGATTTCCCTACCAAAGAATGTTAGAAGAATTTGGACCTCTCAGAAGCACTTGAAGTTGCATTATGTACCATTTGGACAATTTGAAATTTAAAGTAATTTTTTTGATCATTTCTTTACAAAGTAAGTTAGACCGACCCTATTCCATTGCAAATAAATGTCATTCAGTATTTGGAAAGGCCAAAATATGACACCTTATGAGTATATTTAAAAGCTGGAAACACAGCTGTCAGGCAAGTTTGATTACATTCTGGTAATTTATGGTGGCACCACAAACTGAGTGTGCCTCGTGTGGGCTGTTTTAGCATCCACCATAGATATCATCAGAAATGAGAGATAATTGCACAACTATGTTGAAATTGCAAGTAGATTACAATCATAAGATTCTTTCAAATAAAATTATAAAATACTTCAAGTTTTGGTGCAAAAATTTTACACAATGCCACTTTTGATTATGATGTTTACCAACAAGTCTGGGAAGAATGGAGCAGCAATTATGCAACTATATACATAAATCTACATAACCCCAAACCAATTGTCCATTATAGCAAAGTAGAAAATATAGAAAAAAAAGAAACTGAAAGTTTGCAACAATACAGTGATCATTTCTCCTTTGATTTCTATTTCCTATATTTAGAAGATTACTCAAAGCTTAGTAATTCTATAGAGAAATAATTTCTCTACAAGCTGCACAAATAAAAGTTCATACAAAAGCCAAAAAAAGGATTTGGTTCTTTTTCAAAACTACAAGAATAAACTTTGGTGATATAGCTCCATTTGGATTGAACAAAATAAAATTTTCAAAGCTGCTCTTAAAAAAAGAAACTGCAAGCAAATAAAATCTTAGTGTTTCCCAATTGCACATCACATTGGGACACAGTTGTGCAATTTACTTAGTGCACCCTCTGGATTGCACCTTATGCATTTTACGGAAATTTCTCCTTGCACAAAAATCTTTTTGCTGATGCCTAAGAACAGTTGATTTGATTAAATATATGGATGACATCCACGTGCGTATGAATTTTCCTTTCCAAAAAATGTTTTCAACCATACTGTAAATCATACAAAGCAGAAGATGTTCCAAAATACGTATGATGTAGAATGCCAAATCATTTCGAAAGGAAAACTAGACAATGTAAAGAAATGAAATTGAAGAGTCTACATGTACATGTATTTCGCCATACCATACTCTTCTTGTTTTAGTGTTTAATAATTTGTTCAACATTCACGAGCACGTGGATTTCATAATGTTCAAGGCAACACGTTTTTGGCCAAACTTTTTTTTTTCTTATTAGCACACTCGCATCAGTTTTGGGGTTCACAGAGGATGTCATCCATATAATCAAATCGAGGGCTCGAAATACCAGTACTGGGTGCATGTGCACGCAATTTTTTTCTGTGGGTGCACTGTGCACTGGTGCACCCAACTATTTTTGTAGGTATTTTTGTGCATATCCACTGTATAAAAGTATACAGGATATTCTTGGCAACAAAGTATCAGAAAAATAAAATCTTCGTTGTAGTACTTGATTTGTAGCTCATAAGAGGAGCAGTAAGATCTGTGATTAGGTTTTGTTACATATTGTGCACCCAAAAACTTTTTTGTGCACCTATTCTTTTAGTTTAGGTGCACCAGTGCACCTGTTCCCAAAAATGGATTTCGAGCCCTGCATGTCAAACTCTCAGACATGGTTTCCAACATGCACCTCTGCCTCCACCACCACGATGTTCTGCTGGGTGTCAGGACTTCTGTCTGCAGAGTTCTTTGTCCGTGCCGCGGAGCTGTGAGCAGGAACAGGCCTACCCAGAATCCTCAGGGCAGACAGTCGGGCTTGCTGGTACACCGTCAGGCAGTTGAACCCGAGAAGCCTAAGATCATGGAAAAATACATGTAAGATTATGGCCTGCTTTACACCTAACTTTTTCAAGTCGACTAGAACGCAAGCTGACTTGAGCTAGTCGACTTGAGCAAAAATTTCCCTGGGTAAAGAGAAATAATTCAACTCAAGTCGCATTCTAATAAAGACGACTTGAGTCGTATCCAAACCAGACTTAAGTTGGCCAGCGGGGTGCTGAATCCGCTAGCTTCGCGTGTGTAATCGGGGAAAGTCCACTTGAGTGTCTCTGCGTAGTAATCAGGCAAGACCGAGCCACCGAGTCGACTTGGGGGGAGGGTGGCACAGCGGGAGTGCCTAGTTGCTTTGTGGCCCCGTTTGTAAACAGAAATTTTTCAAGTTGACTTCGCCAAGTTGACTTAGAAATGGTGTGTGACATGTTGTTTTTTATTTCAAGCATACAAATGACATCACAAACTTAAGAGACCAACTATTGTCAGAAGAAGACAATTTTTACGATGGTTACGACTGAAACAATCCTATCCTACAACTGTTACAGAAATTGAAAAACAAGGATACCGCGAAAACCATTAAAAAATCATTGCGAACATTTCACTATTCACAGTACTTACTTACTTCAAGCAGTCTTACTTCTCCCGATCCCGCAAATCTTCTTTCTTGTTGAGAAAATACTGTTAAATACCGTAAAATAAAATCATCGCTACTCACTTCAAACAGACGTACTCCAGAAGTACGACCCCACCAATACCGAGAATCTTCGGCACGGGAGACGCGAAGCTTCGGAAGATCAGATAGACGATGAACGGCCCTGCGGACATGACCACCAGGATGAAGCTGAAGATGAGCCACTGGCGGACAGTGACCGCGGAGGGGAGCCACACCGCGCCCTCACGCAACTGGTACTGTTCACAACAAAAACAACATGTTTGACACTGGAAGGATTTACATGCAGCTAAGCAAATTAAATAACTGTAATTAACTTTATGTTTATGGTAGCAAATTGTTCACGTTCTTAGAAAAATGGAGGTGTTCATGGGACTATATGTTCACGGTGGCAGCTGGTGCAGAAAAAAAAAACAAATTATTTGTTCACAGTAATGATAAGTGAAACATACAACAGTGTAAATGAACTGAGGCCACACCAATTTAATCAATTGCTTCTCAGATTTGCCCATGTCATTTTTTTCTAATTTACCAAAAATCTAGGTTCTGAATGAAGTAAATAAAGCTCATATTTTGGCCCAAACAGTTGAGGAAAGTCCTTAATGTCTTTCTATTTATTACTGTGACAGTTTTTCCATCTATCAAGGCAGAGGTTTGATCAAAAGTTTTAAAATTCATTGTTTGAATTATAAACCATGGCTCCAATTGTAGCATATTGGGCTATAGTGCAAATACATTACCTAGGCCTGTGTTTTTTTCACTGTCATTTCACACTTTTGTGAAACAACAATCAATTTTCAATTGATGTGGCCTAAACTTTCAGTGCTAACTTATGTTAGTCAAAGTTTCATACATTGAAGTCCTATAGAGCACATACTAGAAACTAGAGTTCCCCGATCTCATACCTTCGCCAAATGATGTTAATCTTTATGACTGACAAATTATAGATAAGATTATTCCCCCCTGATTTAAGAAATAGGAACCTAATTTTCATGAATTATATCATTTTATCATAATCTCAACCAAAAGACAGTCTTATATTAACAAACAATGCATTCTAGCATTTCCTAATAAATTATGCAAATGAGGTCCTGATTTGAATAAATTATGTTTAATGATGTTCACCTCAATTTAACTTTCAAATACCACAAGTATGAAATTCCAGGCAGTTATCATTACATAATTATAAAATTTTCTCATTAAATATGCAAATTAAGTCATTATTAACATAATCAATAGCTTCCTGTGTTTCTCTCGTTGTCAATTACCAATGTCACAAGCTTCGATTGTGCCATCATGGAATGCAGATGATTTATAGAATTTCCCCATAAATTATGCAAATTACATCCATATTTGCATAATTGTCACATAATTATATTAAGCATCACGTAAGCTACCTACATACCAAAAATCACGACGATCCGTCAACTGGTTCTTGAGTTATCCCCTTTTGAATATTTTCAAGAATATATCCCTGCAGTTCCAGAGCAAGCCGCTAGGGGGCCTAAACTCACGTCACTTCTTCCCCAGCACAAGAGCTACCTACCATCCAAATTTCATCACCATAGCGTGTCTAGATCATGAGATATCAAAACCGGAAGTTCAGCTGCAGTACCATAACAAGCCGCTAGGGGGTCCAAAATCTAATCATTTTGAGGTCTCATCAAGACCTACCCACCTACCAAGTATCAAGACAATCCATCAAGGCCTTCTCAAGTTATCGTGTTTACAGACAGACACACACACACACACACACACACACACACACATACACGAACGCCCCTGAAAACATAACCTTCTTGGCGAAGGTAACAAGAGTTCCACGATCTCATACCTTCGCCAAATGATGTTAACCCTTGCGGTTGACGAATTATACAATTTTAATCATTGATTTTGTAAATAAGAGCCTCAGTTGCATGGGTTATATCAGTTAATCATATTCTCCACCCAATGACAACCTTATCTTAACAAAAAGGCTATTATAGCACTTCCTCATTAATTATGCAAATGAGGTCTTAATTTGAATAAATTATGTTTATTGATATTCACCTTCACTTAACTTCCAAAAGTGGCAAATATGAAATTCCGAGCAGTTACAACTATGTAATTATAAAAAAATGCCATTAATTATGCAAATTTGGTCCTCATTTACATAATCTATATCCTCTGATGTTTTTTTCGTTCTCAAATAGATGTCACAAGTGTTTCATAGTTCTACTATCGAAAAAAGCAGATTTATAGAATTTCCTCATTAATTATGCAAATTAGCTCCTGATTTGCATAATTGTCATCTGATTATGTCAAGCATCACTTAAACTACCTACATACCAAAAATCAAGACAATCCGTCAACCGGTTCTTGAGTTATCCTCCTTCGAATATTTTTCAACAAATGCTCCTGCAGTTCCAGAACAAGCCGCTAGGGGACCCAAACTCATGTCACTTCTTTCCTATGCGAAGAGCTATCTGCCATCCAAAATTCTTGACCCTAGTATGTCCAGATCACGAGATATCAAAACCGGAAGTTCTGCTGCAGTACCTAGGAAAGCTGCCAGGGGGCCCAAAATCTAATCATTTCTAGGTCTCATGAAGACCTACCCACCTACCAAGTTTCATTCCAATCCATCCACTGCTTCTCGAGTTATCTTGCTAAACCACACACACTCATACATACATACATACATACATACCCACAGACAAACGCTACTGAAAACATAACCTTCTTGGCGAAGGTAATAATGATAATCTAGTGGAGCAGTAACTTTACAGAACTCTTACCTTCTCTTTGCAAACCTTGCATCTTGGTGTAGCCCCACTTCCCATAGACTGAAAGATGGAGAAGAAGTAGAATTAGTCAGCAAGATACATTCAGTACTGTGTTCTTTTTATTTCATATCTTGAACTGGAGAGTACTGTAATTAAAGTTTTCACTTCACATTTTAGGATTTGAAATACCCACTATCTCATCCAATGTTTCAGTGATCACCTTCATCAGGACAATTCTGTTCCCAAATGCACTGTACAAACTGTTTCCTGTAACCACGTAGATGTACATATGTGTGTTAACGAAATTTTTTGCATTTGGGAGTGCATCTATTGCCGTAACACCTGAGTGTGCTATGCAATGAAGAAGGTGAACCTTGCCCTGAGGAAGGTGACAGACGGTCACCGAATGTCGGCTGAATACACCTCTTGGTGGGGTTGTGACACAGTGTGGAGTAATCATTGGTAGAGTGGAACCAACAGGTCCTGGGTTCAAACCCTGCCATGCCACTGATCTTGTGCCCTTGGGAAAGGCACTAAACATGAATTTCCCCACTTAACTCAGGTGAAAATGAGTATGTCTGTTGCCTGTGCGCTTGTCTGCATTGGTGCGGCATAAACATAAGTTGGAAAAGCTTGAGTGTGCCGTCACCATGTGTTGTAATAAATGTTGGAATAGAAAAAAAAAACCAACCTCTTGGTTGTGTAAAAAGGGTCTCTTTATGCAGTGACATACATGTACCAACCTGATGAAACTATACACGGATAGAAACATGTTGTCATATTTTCTTCACAACATTATTATACACCTAAGGAACTGTTAATTATTTGGGCAGCCTACTCACCTCAGCCAGCCATCTTTTGAGACAGTCATGGTGAACAGCTGACACGTCACCCTTACAGTTACAGGGCTGGATCATATCACCAGCGTCCGTCCTGTCAGAGTCGTAACAGATCCAACACTCGCGAGGCTCCGTCACGCTCTCCTCTGTCTCAGCGCTGTCCTCCGTGGCGTGGTATTTGGGGACGTTACGGTGGTGCAGAAGGCTGTCTGTCTCAGTGGGCTTCATGGAAACATTTGAGAAGAAAAAGGACAGAAAAGTTGAAGGTTTTCAGGCTTGAAGACCAGAAAGTCAATATTCTAGTCACTAAGTTCAAACAACACTATCCCGAAATGGTAAACCGACATTCATGGAAGCAAAAATGCTGAAAATTGTGACAAAAAAACAGTTACTGGAAGGATCCTGGGCTGATTTTTTAGGTACCACCCAGAAAATAAAGGACTCATCTTGGGGGTTGTTTCTGCACTCTTTTATTATGTTTTAAATGCCCAAATTATGAAATAATGATGTAAATGTCCTAAGGTGGGGCAGTATGTGTCAATATCATACAGATTGCCATATTCAGAGTATTTGTGTTTTGCCGCCCTAAAATTGCATTGGATGGCAAGTGGTAATGACAAAATTGTAAAACTTAACAATGAATAAGACATAAAAAGGTATTTTCATAAAGGAAATTTCATCACCTCAACTTGTTCCAAGTCTCGTTTCTTCAGCAGCTGTTTTGGGTTCAGGATCCAGAGTTGCTCGGGACTAGAAGTGTACAAAAAAAAGTCATTCAACTAATTAGTCTACCAGAAAAGTTGCCTTTCAAAATAGCATTTCAGAGGGTCGAGATTTCAAAATTTTTCAGGGGAGCATGCCCCCAGACCCTCCTAGGTTTGATTTTATTTTTATTTTATTTATTTATTCTAATTCAATTGTAACAATACAATACACTGGCCACCCAGGCAGCATAGCTGATTTAGGGTGCCAAACAATACAAAGATTAAACATACACAATATAACATACTAATACTACTAAACAGTAAACTATCAAGTAAAGATTAAGCTAAAATCAATCAATTAACAATATAAAAGTACAACAGACTTAAGTGCAAAGCGTAACAAAGTAGGTTTGATACTCAACATAATATTATGTCAAACAAAATTGAAATGATGGAAAAATATTTGAAGTTGGTTTTAAGTCAACACTGGTAGGGGTCAACTTTTATATAAACTTTTATGGAAAAGAAAAGTTTTTTTTTTACCTTGTGACGTTCCAGAGCACACATGGGAACCACAGCACCACACCCAGCTCCACAATACGGAAAGTCAGGGTGTAGTAGTTATTACTGACCAGGGGAACACTGCAACAGGGGACATAACAGGGTTAGGAACAAAAGCATTAGACAAATTGCTGATGTGTTATGGCGTTATGCCAATGTGTTATGCGGAACTTAAGCCAACGGGCAGTTATACCGTCTATACAAGTACATAATAGAAACTAAAGTGTAAAATTGATATCTGCCAATTGGCATATTTGATTATCATGATTAATCAGAAACATTATTATGAATGCAGTGGTATCTGGTACTCTTTGCATCATGAAAATTTATAGATAGTGACATGAAAAACAATTCAAAGTTCCTGTAATATTTAAAAAAAATTAATTGATTGCAGATAAAAAAACTGTAGACTTCAGGACTCCTCTTGAAATCAATTTTATAACATTACATAGTACTGCTTTCTGTGCTTGGCACTCAGCATTTGGGAAAGAGTATGGTACCAGTGGACTACATGTGGCTCCCTGCTGTGGTGATTGCACTGTTGTGTTGCTTTCACTTTAACTTTAACACCTGGTAGCTTGAAAATGTTTAAAGCTTTATTCACTCCAGACTATTCCATGACAATCAGTTACTGTACAATCAAAATGTTCCTGGTTAATTATTCTCTATTATCAATTTTTATAACATCTGAATCCCACCTGTCCTTCCATATCTTGCCCATCATGTCCAGGATGAGTAGCAGAGCTGTGAAGAGCTGCAGCCCTGCCTGGAACACCAGACCCAGCCGGGACATGTGGAGCTGGGTCAGGTTTAGAGAGTTGTTACGACTCGCAAACGCACCGTGCACCTGGAGGACGGGAAAACAAAGCCAAAAAACTATGGAAAAATTCTCAGTCAAATATCAGGTATTGATTTTAAATTACAGTAATTTTTGTGGATGACATCAGTGTGCGCATAAATTTCAGACTGATTTTGGAAGAAAAAACAAGTTGTTTTTCCCTCTGTAAGTTGTCACCAAGCCGAAAATGGGAAAATATGTTGTAAAAGCCTCTCAATTCAGAGACTATCATGGATCTAGCAAACCTGACGCACAATGGCTCGCATTTCATCGCAATTGTTAACACTGACATGTTCCATCGCATGCAATCCAACCCAGTATAGTAGCTGCCCATTATTGTATGGCTAGTCATTTTGCTTAGTTAATCAAGGTCATCTACAAGGACGGGTAATACTGTTGAATACAATAAAAAAATATCTGTTTGGTTTTGATATCATGTTTTGTCACCTCAATTCTTGTTTAACAAGGCTCATGTAAATTTAAAGTCTGCAGAGGATGTCATCCATAAATTTACTTGCTGTGGCCATAAGACCATTCCAGCACAATCTTTTTTTTCAGTCCCTCTGCAAGGTGCTGTGTGCAGGACATTTTCATCCCTGAAGCAGCACCTCCTAGCAGGTGTTTGTATTACTGCAGCCAGGGCACTGATATTGCATACAAAACAACCTGACACAATATTGTGCACTGGCAGACACTTGGCACCTTTATTATTGATCTCACTATGATTACATGATGATCTGAATACTGCAATAAGTTTCGAGTACAACAACAATTTGAAAGCAGTACGTTTTGACTTAAACTTGAATCAAGTCTGTATATTAATATCATATCTGACCTTAAAAAACATCTCCACACCATAGATGAGGAAGAAAATGAGGACTAAGATCATCAGCATCCCAAAACAGCACTGGAATATGCTGACCAGATACTCCTGTGGGGACAGAAAAAACACAAAAATGTCAACAATTCAGTAAATAACAGTGTCCAGATTGAATTTGGACAATCCAGAGCACTTTGGACAAATGTTTCTAACTGTTTTCAGCTTATACATTGTACTTACAAAGCTGATATTTTGTGAACAACTTCCCTGTCACCGTACGGATCATAATGACCAACCAGTGGGAGTCAACACACATCATTGAAAATCTTTTTCTAAAGATTTTCATGAAAATCTCAAGGTTTTACAACATTCTCAGGATTTTTCAAAACAATCTCAAGATTCTTTTAAAGAATCTCAAGATTGTTTCATACAATCTAAAGAATCTCAATATTATTTCAGACAATCTCAAGATTCTTTGAAATAATCTCAAGATTTTTTAAAGTCATCTTGAAATTGATGTTGAAGCTTCATTTAAGGCCACACAAATTTAATTTGTTGGTTCTCGGATTTTTTCAGGAAAAATATGAAGCGACAGGGTGAAAAATAAAAAACAAGAGTTCCGAGATCTCATACCTCCATGAAATATGGGCTTGCTTTGTCATACATTTCAACATGTTGTCATTAATTATGCAAATGACCTCCACATTAACATAATAAATGTGGTGTTAACCTTTAAGTAACTTACACATGTCCAGGTATGAAAGTCCCATCATTCACCAATAAGGAGTCACAGAATCTTCACATTAATTATGCAAATTAGGTCATCATTTGCATAATTGGTATCTGTTGATGTTCCGCCTGCCACAGATTAAATAGATTACATGTATAAAAGTACTATTACATTAAACACTGTAATTATAGCATTTTTTCATTAATTATGCAAATTAAGTCCTCATTTGCATAATCTGCATCTTATTATGTACAACTCTGTCTCACCTACCAACACACCAAAAATGATGAAAATACGTTGTTCCTATCTGGACTTATTGGCTTTTAAAGATTTCGCCAGAAAGTGCCCTGCAGTTCCAGAACAAGCTGCTAGGGGGACCAAATTCAAACCACTTATTTCTGACAGGAAAAGCTATCTGTCACCAAAAAGTCAAGACTACACACACACACAGACAGACCCGCCAAAAACAATACCTCCATTTTTCATGGAGGTAAAAAGACTTTTTCGAGCGTAGAGTCCTAGCTATAGGCAAAGTGAACTGTATTGCTGGACAGATCTAGAGTGATGCCGGCTACTAAAAACCAGTTCTTCTGGTGTACGTACGCAATCACTCTCTTCCCCAAGCTTCTCAGAAACCAGAAGACCACTTGAGATCAAACAGGTGGAACCATTTGACGCTTTACTGTGGTGGACCAAACAGTAATAGACTTGCACCCAAAGACATCTGTAGTGACGTGGTATAAGGAAGATCAAGGATTGACGGAAACCATTCCAGACATCATTGCTGGTAAATATCTTGAGGGTTCTTGTGACAGATAGGTAAGTACAAAATGACTTCTGTCTTCTTATTCTTACATGCAGCTTACACTGTCCAACAGCAAACTGGAAGAATTCTTTATCACCGTCAAAAACTTGTCGTTTAAACAATTCCTGTCTTAAGCCCTTTATCCAATGCTTTTGAGAAAAAAGTAGGTACAAAAAATGAAGAGGCATATACTATATAGCAAGTTGTCCGTGGCCTATTTTACAAAAGTGCTTACTGTCTTCTTAAAGTGCTCATGACACCAAAATATTACTTTAGCTGATTGTAATTGACATAACTAGTATTACCTGGCTAACAGACACATTTACAATTAATATGCACGGTTCTCCTGTTACATTCGAAATTCTTATGCCCTGCCTTGGAAAAGTCAGCACAAGCCAGTCCTGGCAGGCGATTTGCGTATCGACATTTTATTTTTGCATGTCTGTATTTTTTCCTGAGCTGATGTCACCCCGTGATGTCAGCTCAGGAACAAGCACAGAAATGCAAAAATAAAACACAGAGATGCAAATAGAGATGCCCGAAGTGGGCAATTAGGAAGCTTGCTACAGAGTCTCCAAAAAGTCACTTTTAGAAGGCCGTACAAGCTCAATTTCTCAGTCAACGTGATTGGAACAAACTTCAAGTGACTATATTGTATGTACACTTCCAATATCTGTATGTATTTTACAGACTTTTTTGGTATTATTTTGGTCTTTAAGCTTACATGTAACTTGTACACGGTTCTGTAGCGATATGGAAGAATTTTTAACACCATCAAAAACTCGTTCATCATATCCAGTTGACAGAAAAGGGGGCGTTGTTTCGGACGCCACCATCACACCAGGGCAATAGGACACAAGAAACAATAGACACAAATCAATGCATGCTCTCGGGCAAAAAGTAAAAAGTCACGCGATCTCTTTTCCTTTGTTTTCTTGACTTATCTAGTCGGACACCATGATGACAGAAAAGGGGGCATTGTTACAAACAAGCGCGATTTTAGGGCCAACCCCCAGTCTCTGGCTTCTTTGGTCGGACAACACAACTTGATTGACAGAAGATTTGGGTGTTGTTACAGACGTGCGCAAAAAAGACAACAAAAAAAAGATCGTAATTAGCATAATTTTTCCCTGGCCAAATTCATGTGCACGTATTTTAACTCGAGCTATGGCAACACTGGACAAAAAGCACACAACAAAGCATATTGCAGTAACTTTCCCGTTTATATTAGTCAAGCACACAACACATTCTTGCACCAAATCATGACAGATATCCAACATAGACTCAGCCCAGACAATGGGGCGTCTCTTTGAGCAATTATTTCCGCTTGATCATTATGACAACCAAACGCCCCAAATGTTAGGACAACTGGTGACCAACCATGCATAGATGATAGGACCACTTATATGTAAACATGTTTACTTAATTAAGGTACCAACAACTGTAGCTGGTATGTGTATGGCAAAGAAACAACAATGGTACATACACAAACCAAGAGTTCCGAGATCTCATACCTCCATTAAATATGGACTTGACATGTAAATGTTAATTTCTTCTTTAATTATGCAAATTACCTCTACATTAACATAATAAATGCATCGTGATGTTAACTTTTGATTAACTTACACATGTCCCAAGTATGAAATTCCCATCATTTACCACTAAGGAGTCATAGAATTTTCGCATTAATTATGCAAATTAGGTCATTTGCATAATTGGTATCTGGTGATGTTCCATCTGCCATAGATTACATACATGTATGAAAGTACTATAATGCAAAACACTGTAATTATAGAATTTCCTCATTAATTATGCAAATTAAGTCCTCATTTGCATAATTTGCAGTTAATTATGTACATCTCTCTCTCAGCTACATACCTACCAAAAATGATGAAAATACATTGTTTCTATCTGGACTTATTGGCTTTTAAAGATTTCGCCCGAAAGTCCCCTGCAGTTCCAGAACAAGCTGCTAGGGGGACCAAACCCACACCACTTATTCCTGACAGGACAATCTATCTGCCACCAAAAAATCAAGACCATATATAGCATATTCAGGACAAAAGATACAAAAACCGGAAGTTCTGCTGCAGTACGAAGGTCATCCACCAGGAGGCGTATATTTGACCTTGACCTTCGTCTTCCTAAGACCTACCAGCATACCAAATATCATCACAATCCATAAAAGCGTTATGAAGTTATGCTGGCCGCAAATGTGCGGAGACACAAACACACAGACAGACAGACAGACAGACATACACACAGACAGACGCAACAAAAACAATACCTCCATTTTCATGGAGGTAATAACACAGGTTGTTTGTTTTCAAACACACAGCCTTACAGTGGCACATTTGCCCTGAAATAGGTCACCTATTCCCCTGAGGGAGCGCGCCGCCTCGCTCGGCATAGCCACATCTGTTACCCTGGCTCGCAAGTGCAAAGGAGATTCCTCTCAGCCATGCCCTGACTCAACCTTAAACCGGAAGTGCTGCTGCAGTACCAAGGCCATCCACCAGGAGGCCCATATTTGACCTTGACCTTTGTCCTCCTAAGACCTACCAGCATACCAAATATCATCACAATCCATAAAGGCGTTATGGAGTTATGAAGGTACAAATATGCGGAAACACAAACACAAAACACAAAAAATCAGTTGTCTTATGTTCCCTTCTCATTTATCCTTGTTTTACCTTGTTTTTATGTACTGGATCACAATTGTAACTAATCAATGCGTGACGGCTGCCAATAATCCTACATGGTAGGGCTAGGCAGTAACGGAGATAACGGAGATAACATACACACACACACACGCACACACAGACACGCCAAAAACAATACCTCCATTTTCATGGAGGTAATAAAGTAAATAAATTCTGCCGAACTATATTTGCAGACGAGATGGCCAGTGGTGAAGACGGGATGGATGACAGCGTAAGTCTCACCAAGAACAGCGCTGGAGAAGTCTTACTCGAAGACAAGAAACATTGGAAGATACTATCGGAGTACTTGAAGGAGAAGGATGAAAACTTGCTTGTGAGTCTTCGCGAAGAAGCCCCGAGTGAGGACAAGTCAGGTTGCCATCAGTTGGAGGTTTGTAACATTGCGGGGTTTATAGGCGCTACCAACTGACCCGGCCAATGGGTCTAGACCTTTTCGGGGGCCCGCAAGCCCTTTTCCGTAGAGCGTAATCAGCCGTTTTAATTCTACGTAGAGCGTAGACGGACCGCTCTAATATTTTTGCGTAGAGCGTATTCAGCGTTTTAATTCTACGTAATGTGTTGTAGCCACTTGGAATTTATCATAAAGCGTAATCGAGAGGTTTCCGAATTCAGCGTAGAGCGTTGTCAGGACCCCCCCTTGCAGGCCCTCCTTTTCGGCAGAGTGGTTAGAGCGTCGGATTTTGAACCTGGTGCTTGGTGGGTTCGAACCCCGGCCCGGGACCAGGTTTTTTTTATCTGTTTCTACTGCTCGCCTCTGTTTCTTACAGTGGTTCGAATTCCCACACCGGCCCTGGGAGTTCTGGCAAAGAGTGCTGCTCCAGGGATGTCGAATTCGGAAGATTCGAGGACGAATCTTGGAAAGAAAAGGGGGAGTAGTGTAACAGTGGGGGGTTTATAGGTGCTACCAACTGACCCGGCCGATGCGTCTAGACCTTTTCGGCTGAGTGGTTAGAGCGTCAGATTTTGAAGCTGGTGCTCAGGAGGTCGTGGGTTCGAACCCTGGCCCGGGACCCGGGTTTTTTAATCTGTTTCTAAGTTGCTCGCCTCTGTTTCTTACAGGTTCTAAACGAGTGGAGGAAGACGGGAAAGTTGTGTGACTTCGCGCTACTTGTCGGCGATCGGGAGTTTCCTTGCCACGTGGCCGTCTTGTCGGCAAGTAGCAACCACTTCGGCTATCTCTGCCGTTACTACAAGGAGGATGCAACTCCTGAGGAAAAGGTATCATAGTTAATGAGTGGGTTGGAGATCAGATAGTTGAGTTGGAGATCAGTTTAATTTTCATGTAAGTTGTATTTTCCCAAACTTAGATTAATTTTCATGCCACTCAAATGTTTTGGGTTACTGTTTGTAACAGCCAGTGAGGACAGATTTTTGTTGACATGAGACTTAAAAAGTTTAAGGAAACAATCATGTGGTAGCTTGTTCCATAGTGATGTTGTTCTAGGAAAGCAGCTATTCTTCATCAATGTAAGTGATGGTTGTTTGTTTTACAGCGGTATGGCCCAATGGATGATGAATTTTCGGCAGACATCATAATTCAACTGCTGGACTTCTCATACACGGGGAGAGTACAGATGACGTACGAGACTGTGGATGACTTGTCCATGGCCTGCTTTCGGTTTCAGTTCAATCGCCTGTTGGAAATTGCGCCTGATTCATTTCACGAAATCTGGAAAACTTAATGTAAAGGTACCAAACACTCATTGTGAACTATAGTCTCTAGTAATCTCCAAGCAGGTTCTGTGGGGCAAGGGGAGTATAATATTGGTAGTGGTGCATACCGGTTCACTGGATGGACTTGGATCCGGACTTGTAAGAATGTTTAGGTTCAAGTCAAAAAAAACCTAAAAGTCAAGAACCGAGTCCGGACTTATTACCATAAAAGACCATTTCACATACCCCTTTTCTTTCCAAACCACCTAAAACCTTCCGTAGATTGCAAAATTGCTGCAAAATGAAGAAAACATTGCCATCGGGCATCGGCAAGTGCCGGCCTCCATGTTATGTGGCCAAAGTTTCACCCAGACAACATTGCAAGGTTGACAACATGCAATTTTGTATATGCCATGGGTTTAGGTCCGGACTTACAAGTCCGGAACTGAACCTAAACCTCTGGACTTGAATCCGGACCTGAACCTAAATGTGGGTTTAGGTATGCACCACTAATTATATTGGCAAGCTGTAACCATGTGCTACCCCTCTTACTAGTCTTAGGTGGCCTATTGGATACTGCCTTGCCAACTGGATACTGAATTGCAGCCACCAGAGAATAATGCTTGGAGATTAAATAGATATATATTCTCTAGCGCACCAACTCCCCCGGCATGTTATCTTTCTATTTTCCCAATATCTACTCTTTCCAGCCGCCTCCCGAAGCCTGAGTAGTAGAGGCTAGGCCTGGATCCCTTCCCATGACATATATTACCGCATGCTATGTTGTTTCTGGTATGCACAGAGCATTGAAACCTCCTCAGAGTTAGCATTGCAAGCTACACTGTCTAGGCAAGACACTCCAAGGGATAGAAAATGACATATGTAGCCCGCATTGTACAAGATGGTGCAAGTCCAATACGGTACCTTTTAAGCTTAAAAGCGTCCATGAATGGTTTCATCAGGTTGGTAAGGCACTGAGTAAAGAGACTCTTTTTACACAACCAAGTCTTTTCTTCAGACGGCGTTTCGGTGACCGTCTGTCACCTTCCTCAGGGCAATTCTGACTGGTTCACATTGCACTGCAGCACAGGTGTCACTGCTACAGATGCATTCCCAAACGTATAATATTTACATATAAAAGTTGGCCGAATAAAAGACTTGCTTGTGTAAGAAGAGTCTCTTTACTCGGTACCTTAAGCTTGATGTGTCTTGATCATTTAAGGTACGACGTGGTAAGGACTAGGAGTGAAATTAACAAAGTGGTAGCATGTGTAAAGGGAGAGTTAGCTGTATAGCTATGGATGGTACCAAGGCTTTACTTCAAACTAATGTACCCCTTTACCTTTACATGTTATTGTAAGGTGACAGTTAAGATTTTAAGAAATAAATCAGATTTGGCCATGAATGCATCTGAATATTTTTTTCTCCACAGGTGATGAAACTTGCTGACCAGGACTACTACCTAATGGATCTGTCCTACTCATATCTACCAAATTAGGCACAATTCAAACCAAGAATTCTGAGATCTCATACCTCCATGAAATATGTAGAGTTTATGTAATGGTTTTGTTTCATTGAATATGGAAATAAGGTGGCAATTAATATAATGTAGTTTAATTTATGGTGTTCTAAACTCAACTTACAATATTTTTCTTGTATCCTTTCCTTTGGCAGTATTTCATTTGAACATCCTCATTTATACTTCCTCATTAATTATGCAAATCACCTCTATATTAACATAATATATGCATAGTGTTGTTAATATTTAAGTAACCTACACATGGTACAAGGTACAGAATTGCCATCATTCACCATTAGGAAATCATAATTTTCGCAATAATTATGCAAATTAGGCCATCATTTGCATAATTGGTACCTGTTGATGTTCTATCTGCCATAGATTATATATATTACATGTATGAAAGTACTATAATGTAAAACACTGTAATTATAGAATTTCCTCATTAATTATGCAAATTAGGTTCTCATTTGCATTTAATCGTGTACATCTCTCTCTCAGCTACCTACCTACCAAAAATGATGAAAATATGTTGTTCCTATCCGGACTTATTGGCTTTTAAAGATTTCGCCCGAAAGTCCCCTGCAGTTCCAGAACAAGCTGGTAGGGGGTTCAAATCCACACCACTTATTTCTAAAAGGAAAAGCTATCTGTCACCAGAAATTCAAGACCATAGCATGTTCAGGACAAAAGATACAAAAACCGGAAGTTCTGCTGCAGTACCAAGGTCATCCACCGGGAGGCCCATATTTGACCTTGACCTTCGTCTTCCTAAGACTTACCAATATACCAAATATCATCACAATCCATAAAGGCGTTCTGAAGTTATGATGACTACAAAGTTGCGGAAACACACACAGACACACACACACACACAGACACACACACACACACACAGACACACAGACAGACCCGCCAAAAACAATACCTCCATTTTTCATGGAGGTACATGTAATAAAAACAGGTCTAGGCATGATCCTATTATAGCCCCAAATACTACGATAGGCTCCTAGGAGCCATGAAGTCAACACAAGGCTGGGTTAAAATATAAACAATGAATTTTGAACTTTTAATCAAACCACTGCATTGATAGATGGAAAAACTGTAACATCGAGGAAGAAAAGGACTTTCCTCAACTGTTGGGGGCAAAATATGAGGATTTTTTAGTTGATTCAGAACCAGAAATTTTTTTTCTTTTTTTCTTTTTGCAAATCAGAAAAAAATGAAGAGGCAAATCTGAGAAGCAACAAATTAAATTAGTGTGGCCTTAGATAGGTATTAATGAAAGGGGTGCTGGCTAGAACCCTGTACCACCCCTACATACCTCCATGGAATGGTCCACCACTTCTGACAACACAAACTGCATGATGAGAAGGATGTACACGAAGGCGTTAAACACGACAAACGCCGCGAAGGACTTGGTCAGGAACCGCGGGCGGTCACATGGAACGTCCTTCACGTGGAATGTCTGCAAAATCAAATAAAACATTTTAACATGACATGGCATGACGTAACATTAGGACGATACTATAAAGTCAATTTTCAGGTCATCTTGAACGTAACAGGCATAGGACTTCAAAAGAACATAGCGTTTAAACTTTAAGGCCATGTTCACGTATTTCATGAATGCAGTTTTTGAATGTTGTGTCAGGAAAGAAATCTTCGTTCAAAAGACAAAATTCTGATGCAACATTGATCAAACATCCAACATAAACCTTGGCTTTGCACAGGTGCAGTATGTTGTAACAACATACTCCCTTTCATTTCAATTTTCTTCAGATAACATTGTTTCGTGCCTAGGGTGTTTGGGAACATTCTCCCTGGGAAATTTCAAAATCTTGGCCCTCTAAAACGCTATTTCCTGCCTTTTAAGGGAAACATTTTGCTGGTAGACACAAGTTAAGTTTAATGACATATCTTTTCATTTCTTTACATGCCAACTTTTGTCCTTCAAAGATGACAGGGAAAAATTCCACCAAATGATGGAAAGACAGACGCTGCCAGAACACTGCCTAGTTTTAGTTAGTACATTTTCTATACTGACCTCAGCCCAGACACACACGACCAGTGAACTGCCAGTGATGAGGAGTGGGTAGTACGCACTCATCAGGTTCAGGGCCCACTGGATAGGAATGTACTCCTGAAATAGGACAAGCAAAAATCAGCATTCATGAATTATTTCAGACCACATTCATACTGTGAAATCATATGTCCACTTTTTCTTAAACATCCATTTTTATTATTAACACTAGAATGTCATAATGCTAGCTACATGTATGGTACCACACCATATAAAAACAATATCCTTGAATAATCCTAAGTTTTGAGTGAGAAGCTTGTCTGATGAAAATCGTAACTTAGATTTGTTGTTTTTTCAGTTAAGGCCACACCAAGTAAATTTTATGGATGACGTCCTTTGGAGACCCTAAATCCAATGCGAGAGGGCGAAAGAAAAACAAGTAGGGCCCTAAAAAACAAGATGCCTACATTAGAAATATCTGGTATACTATGAGACGACAAATGTTAGGACACGAATTGATTGAGGTGACACAGTGTAACAAGCAAGAAGTCTTTTATTCATCATCAAAACAGCAATAAATCAGGTGGAACCGTGTACAGTGAAAACAGGATGGTAATAGACACTTTCTTTTACGGGTTTCACGTCAATCTGACGACTTGCGGCACTGTCGTCACTCTTTGGTCATAGTTACAGGAAGCGGGATTTCTTGTTTTTTTCTAGGAACATGCCAAAATCAATGCGCGCGTGGACGTCATCCATAAAATTTACTTGGTGTGGCCTAACATTGTCAAACCTTCCGTATACATCTGATGGCAAATATGTTACCAAGGAACAAAATATCATTAATATGTTTACTCAAAGATTTAGTCATTTACATTTTTTACAGTTCTTCATATTTCAACATTCAGATATACATTCGACTCAAAGACTGTATACAGAAGCACCATTTCTATACAGAATATTATAATTCTAACCAGCAACTACATTTTTAAACCTCCTTGTTTAAACTGACTCAGAGATCACAAGGTAAAGACAAATATTTTCGGAGTGTCTGGTGTACTGGGCCAAAGTAAACACTGTCAAACTTTCAGCAGCTTAAGTGACTTCATTCCTGGACCAGAAAGTTGAGGGTTCAATTCCCAGCCTGTAGTACAAAATGTAGCTCATGATCAGCTAATCTTTGACACAGTATTAGAAAGGGTTGTACTTCTTGCAATTGGACATTGTAAACCTTAGTCCATGGAAAGAGTACTACATGTATTTAAGGTTCTAATTTTCTTTTGTGACAGCATAACTGTATGTGATGTTTGTCTTTGTTTGTTGGTTTGTTTCTTTGTTTATTTTCTTTCTCTCTCTCTTTCTTATTGCAATCTGCGGGATAGTATGTTATTGTAGCTCAAACTCAATGCAGTAAGCTATTTGTTTTGAGTCAATGAATTCTGCATTCAAAATGGACTTCTTGTCAGCAGGAATTTGAATTCAATTTTTGCAAAAGTGAAAAAAAATCTTCTTGAAATCTCCAGCAATACAAATTCCGTAGGGAAATGACAGTCTAGTCTTTCATGTGATTATAAGCTATCTGCATGCATATATATGTAGAAGGAAAATATCAAACACACTGTCATGTTTTTGAAAGACTCTGGTCAACAATGTCTCAGCACTGAAGGAAGGACATACTTATTGAATTACCAAGGCAAGGGAAATAAGATTTGAACAATTCACGACATAATAAGAGCCCCATATTTGTAGTCCAGTCACGGAAAGGAAAAGTTCTCAGCCTCATTAGGCAACCAAATTTTCTTTGAGCTACACAAAAATTTGCTTTATAAACGCATAATGTTTACCTTCACATGGTGTAGTGGAAAAAAAGTACATTAACTGCTCTATTTACTCTGTTTATTCAAACACATTCATATACTATAGTGCCTGGTATATACATGTAGTACTGTTTAACAAAGTAAAACTTTACATGAGGGAGAACACTTCTATTTTCAATGTCAATGTTGGAAAACTGACTATACAATGTTTCATCACTCAGGTATAAGATCATAAAAAGAAAAAAGGTCGATCAGCTAAAAAATCTATGTCCCTTGCAGGGGTCCACACACACAAAAAAGATAGGTCTAGGGTCAGCAGCTTTTTCTAGGGTCGGTCAGGAAACAGGAAACACAATATTTTTTTTCTAGGCCTAAACAGAATTATTGTGTAGCATGAAAGTTCATCTGTGTTCACTTGGTACAAGTCATTATGAAATAAAGACTAAGCTTCAACTTCCAACACTTAGATACAAAATTTGGACGTACCCAAATTTTTGGTTGACTCCATCAACCTTGTTCACGGAATGGACCCTAGTTCTGTAAACTCAGAGGTCTCACAACATATTCACATTGAATCTCCGGGACATTCAGTATCTCTGGAAGGGGTGAAAATCCTTGACTCTGAATCAGACTTCTTTGCAAGAGGAGTGAAGGAGGCAGTCTACATAAGAGCTCACAGACCTACCCTGAACAGAGACGGGGGGCGACACAAGTTATCTGGCACGTATGACCCGCTACTACGGTCACGTGTATCTGACGTCACGTTCCAAGAGTAGACGGGTCCATTCCGTGAACAAGGTTGATGGAGTCAACCGAAAATTCTGTAATCTAAGTGTTGGAAGTTAAAGCTTAGTCTTTATTTCATAAGAATTATTGTAATAAAATTACCTGTGCAGTAAAGTATGCGGCCCTGGAGGCAGCGGCCAGTAGGGTCAGTAAGTACAGCATCTTCTGTGTGGTCATCTTACAGGCCTTAAACAAGGACGGCTCTTTCTGACGCTGGAACTCTGACCGAACACACAGGACCTACAAAAACAACGGCAGACAGGGCAATCAGAGATGGCAGACTTCATCCCCATACCCATACTGCTTTACCATCCTGCGTATTCGACATTTCAAACTTAAGTTAAGCCTTAAGGCCACACCAATTTAATTTCTTGGTTAACAGATTTTTCTAGAAAAATAATGGAGCGAACTAAATTTCTAAAAACAGACCTAGGTATCCTATTATGGCCCAAAATGGTACGATAGGAGCCATGAAGTCAACACACCAGGCTGGTCCAAAATTTAAACAATGAATTTTGAACTTTTAATGATACCACTGCATTGAAAGATGGAATAACTGTAACTAGGAGGAAAAGGACTGTTTTCAACTGTTCAGGGCAAAATGAGCATTTTGCAGTTGATTCTGTAATTTTTTTTTTTTTGCAAATCAGAAAAAAATGAAGCGGAAGAATCCGTTAACCAAGAAATTAAATTGGTGTGGCCCAAGGGTGCATGTAATAAAAATGATAATTGCATGTATATACAGTTAATAACAGGTTGAAATGACAGGCTTCAAAATCATTGCCCTTGTAATAATATTATAACTTAGAAAGTACGCCAGACTCTATAATACATGCATATTCTGTATAACTTAACTGCCCTTCAGCGTAACACATCAACTGGCAATGGTTTCTAAACAGTTTTTTTTTTGTTGTACAATCCATACTTCCTAAATTGTTCTGGTAAAAATTTGTCTGGTGCAGGTAATTTTCAATATTACCTGCACCAGTTTAGGTATGCAGGAAAAAGTATTTCAAGCCACAGTGTAACAGTTATATTTTTGAAAAATAAAACAGCCTTACCAGCTGTGTGCTTGACACCAGGACCAGAAAGTAGAAGACGAAGCCAAACCCGATGAAGTAAGACATGTTACTCTCCTCACACGCCTCTCCTGTAAACTGTACCTAAACATAGAGTGGAGAATAAAATGATACAGTATTAAACTGTTACTTTTACACAGGAAATTATCAATTAGCAGTATAGCTGTATGAAAGACTGACTTATGTCTCGAAGTTATGACAATGAATGCTGCATACAAAGCAGTGTTCCTGCCAGCATCCGTTTTTGATGGACAAAAATTAGCATGTACATGTAAATATAGAATTAGAAAGAACATAAACTCAGTTTAGACGGTCAACATGCAGAAAATAGCATTTCAGAGGGTCAAGATTTCAGAATTTTTACAGGGGAGCAAATGCCCCCGGACCCTCTAGGATTGTTGTGCCTCAGGTGCAATACCTTTTTGCTTCAGCGCTGGACATGGTATAACGTGAAACAAAACGAGATAGTGATGCATACCTAAACCCACATTTAGTTTCAGGTCAGGATTCAAGTCCAGAGGACTTGTACGTCTGGACATAAACCCATGGCATATACAAAATTACATGTTGGCAACCTTGCAATGTTGTCTGGGTGAAACTTTGGCCACATAACATGCATGAAGGCTGGTACTTGACGATGCCCGATGGCAATGTTTTCTTCATTTTGCAGCACAGACTTTACAATCTACGGAAGGTTTTACATGTAGGTGGTTTGAAAACAAAAGGCGTATGTGAAATGGTCTTTTATCAGTTTTAATAAGTCCGGACTCGGTTCTTGACTTTTAGGTTTTTTGGGACTTGAACCTATTAGAAACATTCTTACAAGTCCGGATCCAAGTCCAGTGAACCAGTACGCAGCACTAAAACAAGATGACGGAAAAAATGTGAGGCTGGCTAGCGGCACCACAAACTGAGTACACTCTACATGTGTGCTTTTTTGTGCAACCAAAAGTGTCAGAAAATGACAAAACTGCACATTCAAGTATGTTAAAAAGTGGAAGAAATTTGCAATCACACTTAAATACAATATTTCAATAAATTTTTGGTTCAAAAATGTTACACAATGTCCCATGAATGTTGATGGAGGTTACAGTTTTGGAACAGGACAGTTATTAAAAAAATGCAAAGCTATTAGTATTATTACTAAATTATTAGTATGAGTTTGTGCACTTTTGACTCTTATGTACCGATTATGTTATGTACAACTTTGTATTAAGTCCTTTAATTTCCAGTCTGACCTTTTGATTCAGACTTGGATTTATGTCTATATGATTTCTGTACCTATGTTTATGTTCATGTTCATGTTTTGGTGTCTTATAAGCCCATATGGGCTGGGCGACAAAAGTGGCAAGACACAAATGAATGAAAATTCATTCATTCATTTATTTTTATTAAAAGTTATTAAAACTTACATCACAGATACACCTCCCCTCGTAGCAGACGCCATGTTCTGAGCAGTTGTCCCTGCACTCCTCCGCCTGTGTTAGTCCCATCATCAACGTCGTCAGGTTCAGCAACTTTCCCAGAACACTCTCCATCAGTTACTGCTGGCTTCTACTGACGATGTTTATTAATCTAAAATGTGCGATAATAATTCTACTGCAGCTGCGGTGTTTTTAGTGGTCCCGGCTTATGTTGCTGTTCTCTTATTCTTCACATTTTGGAAAACTGCACATCTTGGGAAAAAGGGAAAAGAATTAAATTAGACAGCAATTTGGGAACATAACATTTGCCAAGGTCACAATTGGGAAGAATGACTTTATCAACAACTTCTGGACTTTCCTAACTTCATTCAGGTAAAAATGAGTAACGCTACGTAGCTTCGGTTAGGGATGTCCCTCGGATAGGAATGGTTTTAAACAAATTCTGGACTTTCCTCACTTCACACAGGTGAAAATGACTACGTAGCATTGGTTAGGGACGTCCCTCAGATAGAACGTTAAATGGAGGTCCCATGTTTGGGGAGAGCCACACCCCATGCACATCACACCTTTCTAACAAGAGTAGGGGCATGCCCCGGTGTGTGATGGTCCAAATACTACTACAGGTATATGGATTCACTTCAAATCACCTGGACAGAGGCCTGACAAACCTCTTGTATCAGCAATACATTACAAGAATTATTAATATGATGATCGTGGGCATGAAAGGTTATTAAGGAAAGAAAATTAAAGTAACACACAGACAGAAGTCACAATTCATACCGTGACACTGAGCACTACTACCTTACATACCTTGTACACCATTCCCACATTCACATGACCATGTATCATCACCAAACAAAGGTGTGTGGACCTGAACTAGCGGACCTTTGAACACGCACAAACGATTTCATTAACAGTGACGCAGTGCCAAAACCCCTGTTAGAAAAAAACAACTTTTGGACCTGAGCCAGAGCTAATAAAGATGTACAAACAGATTATAGAGAAGGCAGTTTACAAAGTGAATACATATCAAAAGGATGCAAGCAACCAGTCTTTGAAAACAACTTTTGGAAAAGTTCCAAAACTAATAAAGAAAAGATATTTTCCTTAGAAGATTTTCGTATATTCTGAACGCTTCACTGCAGTTGAAAGTCTCAAAGTACCCACAAAACATTTTATCATTTTATTTCGTTATACATACCTAAAGTAGTAGAAAAATATGGTTGCTTTATCACTTTTATAATACAAATGTATATCAACTTTACCACACCTTAATATGAATTATGATGATGATGATTTCTGAAGAAAAATTACTTAGATGCTAAAACTATATCTTTGGACGTTAGACCAATGCCTAGGAAAATGTATTTATTTACATGTATATATATATAATTAATATATATATAATCTATATAATTTTTTATTTCAGCTAACATGATTCAACAAAATTACAATTTACATTGGGACTGTCTCAAGCAACCACCTGTTTGCTTGTGGATAAATATTTCAACTGATATGCAAAAATAATTGGTTAAATTCACTTAAAGGGGCCTGTGTGCCTTTTTTCAGTACTAGTATAGCTAATGTTTTTTCATAAATCAGATTTGATTTTACTTGATTTGTACTCAGACTGCTCCAAATTTATTAATTAAAAAGGTTTACCAGTGTGCAGTTGAATTTAATAGAATTTACTGTAAAATTTACCAAAAAGTGTGATATGTGGTACCAGTAAGTGACTTTGAAAGAACTTCATGTCATTTGTAATCCATCCATCGATCCCCCATGCAGATCCCTTTAAATGATGTAAGGTGTCACATGAGTTCATTATACCCGTAACTGATGAAAGTCTAAACTCAAACGCTCAGTCACGAGGTGATATTGTGTGATACTGTTTGATAGCGTAGGTCATAGGGTCGTTGTGTTCATAGGTTAATGTGCTACTGGGTCATCCCAGTACATTGTACATTTGACTTACATAAACTTTGATAAAGTCAAAAGTTTTGACTGTTCAAAGTTCATATGGCAACCACGTTTGACCGGTCATTTAAACCTTACTTGGGCCACACCAATTTAATTTTTTGTTTCTCAGATTCGCCCTGTCAATTTTTGCCAAGAAAAAAAATTTTTTGGTTCTAAATCAACTGCAAAATGCAGTTGAAGAAAGTCCTTTTCTTCATAGTGGTTAAAGTTTTTCAATGTAACAAAGCAATTTTGTTTCATTAAAAGTTCAAAATCTATTGTTTTGAATAATATACCAGCCTGGTATGTTCAATTCATAAGGCTCATATCGTAACATTTCCAGCCTTCATGGGGTGCCTGTTTTTTTTTTTTTTTTCGCCCTGTCAACAACAAATTAAATTGGTGTGGCCTTGTTTTTAAACTTTTAGTAGACTCAGTTTGTGGCACAGATCCAAACGGATCAGCTTGACATGTACTTTGTTCCCCTGGGAGCCAAACTCGTAAGGCGGTAGGCGGAAAGTTTATGCGCGCGCCGCGTTCGGGCCTTGGGTAGCCCGTCCCTGACTCATGCCCTCCCCACTATCCGCTGTGCCCCAGATGCGCAAACCCTCTAGGCCGCGCTGTGTATATAGAACACAACACAGTGAATTCTGTATCACCCGAGGTACCAGCCCGACTAAGAGTCGGATCTCCTGACGGCCAAAGACCTGAGGTTATCATGACCCAGGTATGATATAAGGCTAGTCATATCATACCTGGGCCACGATAACATTAGATGCGGGTGTTCTGGACCGGTCCATACTTTACATTATGTCCTACTACCTGGGCCGCGATTACGTTCGATACGGGTGTTCCGGCCCGTGTGATAACTAGCGGTACGGCCTGGGGGTTCTTACCGCGTACGGCCCGGGCCTTCCAAATGTTCCGTGGAACGATTCGAACGCGTTTCGGCCTAACCGCGTGCACCGATTTCGAAATTCGAGTACAAAATTCGGACGTTGGAATTGATGTTGTCGCATTTTTTTGGGTTTAGGGACACCAAATTTTCGCTAATTTCGCATTGAAAGAAGCGTTTTCTTGGGTGGGTATGACATAAATAAAATACAACACGGTGTATTCCGCATCACCCTCTGTCCCAGCCCTCCCGCGGATCGGATCTCCCTCTGGCCTTCAGCCGTCGGGCGATCCGACGCGCGGTCGGGCTGGGACCTCGGGCGATACGGAATACACCGTGTTGTATTCTATATATACGGTCCGGGCTTCCATGGCTTCCATCATAAGAACAATTCGAGTGCGTTTTGCCCTAACCGCGTGCGCCACTGGGGCACAGCTGACAGTGGGGAGGGCGTGAGTCAGGGACGGGCTACCACAGGCCCAAACATGCGAGCGTAAACTCTCCCCCCGCCGCCTTATGAGTCTGGCTCCCAGGGTAGTACTTTGTACGCTGTTGGAAGTTTGTGGAACGCAAACATTCTGAGGACAATTGGACTATAGGATTTAGTTCTGCATCTCAAAGTCACACCTTCAGCATATTAACCCAGCACAAAGTCTTCACTCAACGACACTCCAACTTCCTGCCTTCAAGTCCCTTGGGAAAACAAATTTTAAAGCCAACAATGGCTAAAGCTTAAAGCTTCTGGCAATGATTTACCTGCAAACAATGGAATGTTTCTCTCAGGCTATCAGATGTTGTCGTTGCTAACAATGGGATGTGGAGACAAACAAGGCGGGGCCACAGATTATCTGTACTTCATCCCATCTTTGGGACCAGAAATCAACAGACAGATCCTGATCAAACGCGTCAAACCCTCTGTTCCATTGTGAACATTTCCTTCAAAATCAGCACGAGAAATCTTGTAAGTTATATATATTAAAGGGTTGCCTTGGTGTCTGCTTGATAGAGGCTCCTTGTTTTACCATTGAGACTGAATTTGTAACATCGGAGGCACTAAGACGTTTTGTTATGAGACTTCTTTGCTGCCAAAAATGTGACCCCAAAGTTGGGTGGCAAAACTGACATAGACAATCTGGCAGCAGCGGCCGGTGCGGCCCTTCCCGTGTAGCCTCCTGTGCAGGCCCTGCGGCGGGTGGGAAAGTACCAGAGCAAAAGCACCAGTGAGGACAAAACCAACAACGCACCACGAAGAGAAAAGCACCTAGCGACCACCTCTAGCGAGAAAAATAGACTCTAAACAAGGACAACAACAACAGGTTTTTAACGCATTATTGTAATAGCCGGCCATCCTACAACCAGCCACCGGGAGAAGGTTCCATTCCGCTCATGGAAATAACGCGTTAAAAACTCTTTCCCACCCGCGGCAGGGCCTGTACGGGAGGCTACTTCCCAGGCTGATTTTGAAGGAGGACTGTTCAAAATAGACCATGTCCAGGGTCCCATTGTGTTCGATCAATTACAACGTTTCCTGGCAAAAAAAAGCAGCACTGAGGAATCAGTGAGGATGTTAAATGGCAACACTGCATTTCTATATTCGGATTTCGGAGAATTGTCCACACACACATACACAGACAGACAGACAGACGAGTCAAATTGTATTATAAATGTTACATCACTCCTTCTGGGTTATAAGTTAAATCAGTAAAACTGAATGAAAAATTTGAGAGAGTACCTCACAACGAAAGAAAATCGTCAGGACATAATTTATGGAAGAGACCATAATGTATGGTTGCATAATTCCTGAATCAATGGACACCTTCAACGTAGTGCAGAAACAATGACAAAGGCTCATGTGGAAAGATCCTTACAAAAATTTCGCAAGGTCGAGAGGACGTCCTTAATTTGACCCAGATGTCCACAAAATTCCCAAGATGGAAAATGCTGCAGCAGATACGAACAACGACAATTTTCCGTCATTCAAATTGTTGTTTACATGGATATTGCACAATGGCCGACTCACCCTTCCAACGCACACGTCATTCAGAAAGAAAACCGTGGTTTTGGGACGATCTAGCGACTGGGAATGTTCTTGGGAATATCTACTCGTCTTACCTTCGAGTCCAGCTCAAAACTGCCCTTCTAAATACGGAATGTTCCGCGGCGATGACGACCAACCAGACAACATCGCCACACAGCGTGATGGGCGCTCAGTCTGCGGTCACTTCCGTGTCAGGTGATCAGAAAGAAATAAACACCAGGATTTTTCCACTGCAGTTCAGAACAATACCGCTAGATGTCAGTGCCACGCGGAAAAAAAGAGAGAACCGTGGAAAATACTAAAAAGAATGTTGTTTTCTGTTTTATAATGGTTTATTTCAATTCATTTTACTTGAGTACACGTCTTTCTATCTAATTATTCCCCCATTTAACTACTTAACTGGAGTAAAAGCAAGCTCTGTTGCTACTGTACTTTGAAAGTACGTCAACAGAGGGCGCTCATTTACTTCCGGGTTGTTTCGCAGTAGTTGCACGGTCAGTTTCCAGTTTCTGAGTTTGGACACAAGACAGACAACTCTAATGACAGTCTTGGACAGTAGCTGGACAGGATCAAACTAGTCCTGTAAAATTGAAAGGTCCAGAACTCTGTTTAGTGAAGATCACACCATGAAGTGTTCTTGGAGCATTGCGTTTTTCTTCACAACCTTGGTGGCAATATCTTCTTCACAAGTTGGGCAGGAAAAGTGTCAAGCTGTGCCCAAGGGACACTTGGAAATCTTCGGGTCTCATGCAGACGCCACAGAAACCATCGACGAGATGTTCACAGGTTGGACCAGATTTCTCTTATAGATATTCATGTATCATCAAGGTGCTAAGTCAGTAAATGACGAGTATGGCAGTCTCTGTACCTAGTAACTTATACAATTTAAAAGTAACTTTTATTTCATGAGATACATGTTTATTGGTAAGATTTTGTGTAACATCTGTGTCCATAATATCACCAGAGTCCATAATATCGCCACCTTGAGAAATAGTGTGCTTAAAGATATTTTTACTGCAACAGACCCTAGGTATGTACATTTGATGTGTGAAGGAGTGCATACCAAAAGTATGTTGCAGTAAAATATCTTTAAGCACACTGTTTCTCAAGGTGGCGATATTATGGACCCTGGTGATATTATGGACACAGATGTTACTATGGTCATGAGAAGAGGCACAATCTAGACATACTTAATTTTTTAAAGTGGTGATCTAGTTCCATGACCCCATAACTGTTACCACTTTCCAGAAAAACCTTACCTTCCAATATACATTGTACTAGTTAAACGTTAACGTTATTTTATATAATGTTAATCATGAGTGATCACTGTTTTTGTTTACATCATAACATTATATATGCAAATTATTTAAAGACATTATGCAACTTACTGGTAAACAAATTGATTTGTTTAGACATTAGTTTTATTGGTGAACAAATTGATTTCTGATCAGCCAATCGTCACCTTTTTTTGCCTACCACTCACTCGCGATGATGTCAATTGCTCTGACATCCTATTCAAAACACTTTTAAAAAATGTTTGTCTTTCTTGCCATCCACCACAACAGTCCCACAACCCCAGGAGTTCTTTGACAAGTTTGTCAAACCCAACAAACCCGTCCTGCTGAGGGGCGCAGCCAGGCCCTCGCGTGCGTACTCACTCTGGACGCCCGAGTTCCTCATCCGGGAGTACGGAAACCTCACCGTCCGACTGGAGGCACGACACGAGGCCAACCACAAGATTCCCGCGGGGGAGACGGGCCTGGGGCGGGACACGGTCGCTCACTTCATGCGGAACTTCGACACGATGGACGCGTACGCCATCTCACAGATCCCACGTCCAATGGAGAAGGACGTCGCTGTCCCACCATGCCTCAGGTGTGGCAGTATCGCACAGGGCATTCAGGTGGGATTTTTATACTTTAGTACTTATAATAATATATCATAACATATTGCCCAGTTTGACAAAACTTGAACAAATCTTATCTAAATCCTTGAACAATTTTTACAGGAGACTCATCTGTTCCTGACAGCAGCAGGAGGAAAGACCATGGTGCACAGGGACCCGTACAGCACCTTCCACTGTCTGTTCAATGGCACCAAGGACTGGATTCTGGTTGACCCCAGCCAGGTACTGACCATCAGTCCTCCCAGTAGTGTTTAAAGGCATCCAATGCAATTTCAGGGAACTACGTATACATGTAAATAGAGTGTCAAAACATAGGAGTGTCAGAACATAGGGGTGTCAGAATATAGGGGTGTCAGAATATAGAGGTGTCAGAACATAGGGGTGTCAGAACATAGGGGTGTGGGAACATAGGGGTGTGGGAACATAGGGGTGTGGGAACATAGGGGTGTCAGAACATAGGGGTGTTGGAATATAGAGGTGTCGGAACATAGGGTGTCGGAACATAGGGGTGTCAGAACATAGGGTGTCAGAACATAGGGGTGTCGGAACATAGGGGTGTCAGAACATAGGGGTGTCGGAATATAGAGGTGTCGGCACATAGGGTGTCGGAACATAGGGGTGTCAGAACATAGGGCGTCAGAACATAGGGGTGTCAGAACATAGGGGTGTCAGAAAATAGAGGTGTCAGAACATAGGGTGTCAGAACATAGGGGTGTCAGAACATAGGGGTGTCGGAACATAGGGTTGTCGGAACATAGGGGTGTCGGAACATAGGGGTGTCGGAACATAGGGGTGTCGGAACATAGGGGTGTCAGAATATAGGGGTGTCATAATATACATGTAGGGGTGTCAGAACATAGAGTTGTCAGAACTCAAGGCTGGGTTTGCCAGATTTTGAGGTTTGGGGTACAATGTAACTGTATAAGTGTCCATTTTTTTTCTTTCCTGCAGAGTGACCTGCTGTACTTTGCGGAGGACTCTCGGTACGAGTGGGGAGGGTACTCAGAGATCAACGTGGACAGCGTGGACCTGTTACAGTTTCCGAAGATCCGGGACGTCCGCTTTGCTCGTATCACCATGGACAAGGGAGACTGTATCTTTGTACCTGGAGGCAAGTCCAGTTTGCTTTCACCTCACTTTGTGATGATTCTCTGAGTTTTTAACCTTAGAGTCTCCCTGCTACCAATCAAAATTTTCTGCCAAAAAATTACTTCAAAAAGGAGATGGTTACAAAACTTGGAGTCATTTCTGAATCAGTGAGTGTAGATGGAGTGTGTTTTTTAATGTTCATATACTTTTAAATTGTTATTTTGAAAACTTTTGTTCCCGACCCTAGATGTTTTTGTGTCATTTTCTTCCTCGATTCTTATTTATCTGACTGTTGTCCACCTTTCGTTGCTTGTCTAATATTAATGTAATCATGTTTTGTCCTGTGTAAATATATGCTGGACCCAATTCAAAAGCAGTTTCTACTAGCTGAATGGGCAATGGGCTACCCAGCTTTAACTGTTTTATGATTAGATGAATAAATAAGAAAGACTGATTGCAGCCAGAGGCTGTTTCAACAACTCTGAGTGAGCTGCATCATCATTTTTATTTCAGTATGTCCAAGGACCAATGAAATACAATGTTTTGGCCTAACATCCGTGTGTTGTCTCGCCTTCTCTGATAGGCTATCCCCACCAGGTGAGAGTGAACGGCTACCTAAACACCGCCGTCTCCATCTGGATATCCCGTTTGAAGGAGTTCGACAACGCCGGTTGCGACCAAGAGTTTGACTTCACGCCGATGGACCAGGTGGACGTTCTGTGGCGATACAGCGGACATGGTGATCTCCCGCAAGGTCACATGGACATTCACATCCTAAGGTCAGAGGTCGCTGCACTATTCATAATTTGAGGGAGAGGTCACCTGTAACTTGGCCACTACACCCTGCAAAAAAAGGCAATGCATCCCTTAGTGGGCTCCTTTTACATAAATTGGTTTGTCTTCATTGTCTGAACTACCGGTAAAGGACACACCCTTAATACAGTAGACGAAAAGGAACTAGTAATCTTTGGTCGTTTGGATATGGTGATAAAAAATCAGCAGGAAGCTCCACAAAGGGACACATAGTACATGTATTTACACAAGGAAATTGTTATTTGAGCAACTGCACACAGGTAGCCATCCACTACTTTTCAAATTTTACTTATTTTAGGGTCCATAAGAAGCTAAGACAAGTACACTCTGGAGCTAATGTTGTCTCGCACAGATTGTCAGGGCAGGGTTTCAAGTGTCAGAAAGTTCTATATACTTGTAGTCCTCCTTTCCTGTTGAGGGTAGGATTGTACACTCTCATATAGTGCCTCTCTGACTCCTCATCATTTGAATCAGTGAGGTTCACAGTCTAGGATGTCTGGATTGTAGACTCGAGTTTGAAAGAGTGTCTCTTGTTGTGCTGTAGGTGGTGGAAAATGACAGAGGAGTAGTCATTTAATTACTAGGTCTGTAGTGTTGTTTGTACCTTTCTGTTACACATAATTACAACCTGCAATCTGCAAATTTTCTCTCATTATCTCGAAATTTAACAGCTGCTGGTTTCGTAGTCTCGAAGACCTGAGGGCATCATTTAGTCTCTCACATCAAGGAGGTTAAAAATCAAAAGTTGAATTAATTTTTTAAATTCAAAAAGCTCCTTGCTCTCAGTGAAACTATCACTTTGGAATCCTGAACTTCTGTCTTAACTGAGCCCCAAAGCATGGTAGCCCTAAAGCATTTTTTTTTTAACACCTTTATTCAGTGTACATGAAATCATACAAACAAATCATATAAAGTGTACATAATAAACAGAGATAAAGTAAGGGAAGATAAAATAACATCAGGTAATCATTCATAAATTCATAACAAAAGAAAGGTGTGTATATATATCATGTAAACAAATTACTGGGTAGCATTCATTATTGTCATGTGATGTTTTAGTTTACATTGGAAGTATTTCATGTCAGGTTTTATATTTTTAATGAAGCAGCTGTATATGACATATTTAGCTATTAGGATACATTGCAATAGAAAAGGATCTGTGTGTGAAGTTTCTGGTATACAATATATAATTAGCTTCTCAGTTAATGTTAGGTCCTGTTGTGTTTCGTTTTTCCACCATCTTGTAAAATCTTTCCAGAAATATGTGACATAATGGCAGTGTATTAACAGATGTTCAATAGTGTGTTTTTCATTACAATTGTTACACAGCCCTAAAGCATGGTATAACCAGCATTCGAAGGTGGATATGATTGTAAAATTATAATAAAAAGCTCTATTTCATTCGGGCAAGCTGTTACTTTTTGTGCCAGTTTGCCAACACAGTTACCGGTATGTAATATTAGGAAAGATACTGTAAATCACTTGGTAAAAGTTCTTTATCCAAGAAAAATGGGCACATTCGCAGACCTTTACGTTCAAGGCTGCGGCAGGTGCAGCAAAAAGAAAGTCAGCGAATTATTTTTTCACGGTGATGATAATTTTCGCCATACAGAAGTGACTGCAAAAATTGCCAAGGATAAAAGTACTGTGATAAAATTGTGATTTACAGGATGGCATGTTTGAGTCATAGGTCAATACACCCTCTAATAGCTAGGTAACTCATACATATACAGGGTGCTATATACATGTAGATGGTAACGTTACATGTACTGTATGTGCAACCCATATATATATATATATAGGTAAGTTGTAGAAGACCATTCAAAAGTCTCTGTAATTTTTTGTTGTGTCAATAAAGAATCTGTTATATGGGTCCCGCAGGACAAGGGTTAACATTGCTGTTAATGTCTGAAAGTTTCAGCAGTTGTTGTGATCATCATCCTTTATATAACATCTGTGTCCATAATATCACCAGGGTCCATAATATCGCCACCTTGAGAAACAGTGTACTTAAAGATATTTTTACTGCAACATACCCTAGGTATGTACATTTGATGTGTGAAGGAGTGCACACCAAAAGTATGTTGCAGTAAAAATATCTTTAAGCACACTGTTTCTCAAGGTGGCGATAATATGGACCCTGGTGATATTATGTACGCAGTGTTAATGTAGGTTGGAATCTCTGATTTCTTGTTATTGTTTCTTACAGGAGGCTCCTGTTACTCCTGGCTGACTCTGAGGGGAAGATTTCTGTTCAACATTTCCTGGACAACTTCATCAAGGTGAGCCAATGTTGTCCTTCATATCCCACACTCAGTCCGAAACTTTCATGTATAATATATAATGATTGTTGAAATGTCTGTTGTAGATAGATTTTTTTGTGCATGGCAGAACTTTTGTCTTGTGCTGTGTACTAAATAAACTTCCAGTAGTGCTTGAGGCCCAAAACTGTGACTTAAATTTTCCTCACAGCATAAATAATGTAGCCATTGGGATTTAAAACTGTATAATACTTGCCCAGTAGTTATGAGGATGGTACCCAGGCTAAATTGTGGATCCCAAAGACAAAAACAGTGTGGTCTATTTAGCAGTAATACTTCTGCATCACATGTTCTAATGTTTCTTTATTAATAAATAATAATTATGTACTACATGATTTTTTTCTTCCTTACAGGGAAGACATGAAATGGGAGATGAGTTTGAAGAAGACCACAGGATGTCACAGGAAGAGATAAAGACCATGGATAAACTCTACAGTAACATGAAGATTGAGGTCAGTAGAGTGGTCTTAAACTAACAGGACTCTGTGCTGTCAAAAGAATTTTTTTTATTTCTGTAAATGTCCATATACATTTTTCATTTTTATTCATTTATACAGGGTTAGCATATCGCCACGCATTTGGCGCTTTTCAAAACTCCCTGTGACATACATAACATTAAGTACAATCAAAAGGTAGTCATGATAATAGAAACGATTTTCACAGTTTTCCTGATAGTATTACATGTATCTCTAAACAATTGCAAAGACAACAAGCAAGTCATTTTAAAGACATTTTAGGCTCTACCAGTTAATCCCAATATATATTAGGATTAACCCACACTGGTGGATATAGTTACAGCTAAGGCCACACCAATTTAATTTCTTGGTTAACGGATTTTTCCAGAAAAATAATGGAGCGGGCGGGCGAAAAAATAAAAAATAAAAACAGGCCTACTGTAGGTATCCTATTATGGCCCCAAATGGTACGATAGGAGCCATGAAGTCAACACACCAGGCTGGTTCAAAATTTAAACAATGAATTTTGAACTTTTAATGATACCATTGCATTGAAAGATGGAATACCTGTAACAAGTAGGATGAAAAGGACTGTTTTCAACTGTTCAGGACAAAATATGAGCATTTTGCAGTTGATTCTGAATTTTTATTTTTATTTGCAAATCAGAAAAAAATGAAGAGGCAAATCCGTTAACCAAGAAATTAAATTGGTGTGGCCTAATGAGCTTTGTATTCACATTTGAGATGGCATCCTTGGTGCAGTGCCACACTGTGTGGTTAAGGAGTAAAATACTTTAGGTAAAGGTAGTTCCATAGTGTTTTTGAGGACATATAGGAGCAGTGGGTTGTTGATCCACTGTGTTGAGGGCACTGTATTCCAAGGTGGAGCCCATCCCTCTCCTTCTGCCACTTTTTAGTAGTTTTACCTCCCCAACCAAAGTCAAAGACCCATTTTACACCTGAGTGGAGTGAGGAAAGTTGTGTTAAAGGACATATAATTTGATGTAATTTCAGTTTTGGTGCCATTCAACCCCAAATCCTACCAGCCTCCAGGTGGAATAGGCAGTCATCAAATGTGAACATGGATTTGGGTCAAATATCAACCTTATGTGTGCGGGACTGGTAGAAACAAATGAGTCACCTTTTGCAAATGGGATTTTGGGTTAAAAGACACCAAAAACTGAAATTACTGTATTTGTCCTTTAAGTGCCTATGCCAAGGACACAACGTCTAGTGAGGAATGCAAGGAGTGACCACTCATTCTCTATTTGCCTGCCCAGCCACAATTGGTCATTCGATGCCATAGGCAAGAAGAGAGTACTTGGAAAGCTAGGAAGTTACCAAAACTTCCATCAGGTGAGAGTTTAGGTGTATTGAGCACCTTATTTTCCTGTCTTTTCCGTGCATCATAACAGTTTGCCAAGAAGGTGGACCCAGAAGGACGAGGTTACATCACCACAGACGAGGTAAAAGCCCTGACAAGAGAAGAGATGAAGGACATCATGTTGATTATCGACCCCACAGACGTGTCCGACACTTCATCCTTCGAGTACAGCCACATCCAGGTAGAGGCTATCAGGTAGGACACGGCTCGAAATTCATTTTTGGGAATAGGTGCACTGGTGCACCCAACCTAAAAAATTGGGTGCACAAAATTTTCAGTGGGTGCACCATATAAGATAGAATAAGTAGAATGTCAGTGTAACTAAGGCCACACCAATTTAATTTGTTGGTTCTCGGATTCGCCTCTTCGTTTTTTTCTGATTTGCAAAAAAAAAAATTGATTCTGGTCCTGAATCAACTGAAAAATGCTCATATTTTGCCCCCAACAGTTGAGGAAAGTCCTTTTCTTCCTAGTTGTTACAGTTTTCCCATCTGTCATTGCAGTGGTTTGATTAAAAGTTCAAAATTCAATGTTTAAATTTTAACCCAGCCTTTTGTGTTGACTTAATGGCTCATTTTGTAGCATTTAAGCCTATAATAGGATGCCTAGACCTGTTTTTATTTTTTTTCGCCCTGTCGCTTCATATATTTTCTGAAAAAATCAGAGAACCAACAAATTAAATTGGTGTGGCCTAAGTAGAATGTCAGTGAAAACTAATGTTGTTTTGTTTCTAAAGAAAAGTACTACATGAATGATTTTACTATTTTTCTGACACTTAGATGTTCAGAATATCCTGAATACTAGTACTACTCTACATTTAACATCTTGACATACGTAAATCTGAAAAAAAATGGGTGCACAGCTCCAGATTTGGGTCACTAAGTTGCACATGCACCCAGTATTTCGAGCCCTGTAGGACCCTCTCCAACAGGACGGAAGATCTAGAAAAAGTCTTCAAACTGAGCATCTAGTTGCCTACATGTGTATGTATAAAAAGAATAAGACTAGCACACAAAGTAGATATAATAGTATGGAAAAAAGAATGATTGTAAGAGGCAGAAAGTTTAAGATTGTTATTAATAAATGCAGCCATAAAACACAGTGGATAATGATTCTTGGGTTTTGTGTAAGAAATGATCATATACTACTATAAGAAAAATCCTGATGTTTAAAGCTATTAAGGTCTCATTCATGTATTACTCCGAGTGTACCCCCTAAAAGAGTACCAAGTCAAAAACTAAACGGCTGTATGAACGAGTGTTTTTATTGGTGAGAATTTTCCCTTTAGCCATCCCAACTGATGTAAAACGTCAAAGCGGTGAAAGCTTGTTTGTAACTGATGAAATTAGGACGTAATTGTCGGCAGCCGCGCGCTAGGTCGGACGTGCACAGTCCATTGTTGTGAGTTGTGCGGTCGTAGGTTTGCAGCGCGGGAGGGCCTCTTGCGGACAGCTGCTAAGTGCAGTTTGTGATTCCCATAAAACAGGATTGTGTGTATAGAAGTCGTTGGCAATTTTTTTATGAGACGTAGAGTAAGTGTGCTCAACATAGCATGAAAGATATCAATTGATTTAATGTAGGATCATAGGGAACACGGTCTCGTAAGTCACTCATTAATGCATGGTTTCTAATGTATGGAAAAAACTCATGAATGAGACCTTAATGCATTATGTAGTAATGTAGTATTATGACAATGCAAAAGTCATTTTTCTTGTCATTTCTTTACGATTTAAGTTGAATCAACCCTACTCTGTGTTACAAATAAGTGCCATTCAGGAAGTGGAGGTACCAAAATAGGACTTGATAACTAACTTCTTATCCATTCCTGTAGGACACTTCTACAGAATCTGATGAGTAAGAATGGTGGGCAGCTGTCTTCAGACGTGTTTGTGCAGGAGTATGTGGAACGTCTGGGTGGAACTGCACAGGTGGCAGAGGAGGTAAGCAAACAACATTATTTCAACCAAAACAAGAGTTCAGAGATCTCAGACCTCCATGAAATATTAAGATCTTGTGTGATGTTGACTGTGTCCTCTCCTCTTATTCACCATGGTGTCTACAAGTAATTCTTTATTGTGCAAGTAAAACAACACGTACCAGCTGTCAAGGAGGTCATGTAATGAAAAACACAAGTGAAAATAGCGAGAGTGCCTCTGTCTTGTCATTGTACAGGTTATGGTGGTGGACATTCTCTCTTATATATTGTCTATCTTCCATGGTTTTAACCTTCCATGGTCATTTCAATCATGTTCCAAGGCCATTTCTCAATGTCTGTTCTATGGAGGACTGGCCACAGCCATTGTCCTAAAACAGCTTTCCATTGTATGACAAGATAAATCTGCTTTAGAAGTTATGAAATAAACATATTTCATTATGTACTGATTTGTTTATTTGCATTTATGATCTGTTATGAGTTCACTTTGTTTACCATTATTGTATATAGTACCTTTATTTGTGTTCATATTTTGTTTGGATTCTGTTATCTGTACCTTTGATTCTCTTTTGTTTATGTATTATTTATATTTTTTATTATTTGTATACCTTAGACTTGATGTTAGCCATTCTTTATTACTATTGTTGTAGTACTCTCCAGTACATTGTACTTTGTACATCTGTGCATTTATCCTCCCGGGGAATGAATATGCAATAAAGTTTCTAAAGTTTCTACTTATTTATACTCAAACGGTGTTGTATAAGCCCACACGGGCTGGGCGCGGAAAAGCGCACGACACGAAAATAAAGTTTTATTCATTCATATTTCTGTTCTCTCCCACCCAGATTGTGGCCAAGCTGGTCCCTAACAAGGACGCGACCTTGACAGCTGCCATGGTACAGGAGAACATGGCCGCCGCCTTACAGCCGTTTGACTCAGCCAGAGCTCACGACCCCACCCTGGAGCGACTCATGTACAAGCATCTGGAGATGCATGATGAACTTTAACCTTACGTTATGTCATAAAAAGTTGCCATCATGTATGTCATCAGAAGTTGCCTTCATGTGATGTCATCAGAAATTGCCCTCATGTGATGTCATCAGAAGTTGCCCTCATGTGATGTCATCAGAAGTTGCTCTCATGTGATGTCATCAGTTGTTCTCATGTGATGTCATCAAAAGTTCTCATGATGTCATCAGAGGTTACCCTCATATGATGTCATCAAAAGTTGTCTTGAAGTTCATGGATGTCATCAAAACTTGTCCTTTTGTGATGTCATCAAAAGTTGTCCTCATATGATGTCATCAAAAGTTATCATCATGAAAACGTCATCAGAAGTTGCAATCAGAAACATTGCCATGATCAATGAAAAAGCAATATTTGAGAATTCCAAACAGAAAGCTGCTAATTTAAACTATTGTTGATTATAATGGACTATATAAGTTTAGATCCCTTAGTTGTGTGTTATGGTGATGTAGCAAAGTGGATAATAATGGAAAAAATGGAGACATACCATATTTTTCAACTTAAGATTATATTATATAATTTATATTCATATTATAAATCTTTGACCGTGTTGAAAGTATGCTAGTGATGTTTGTACCTGCTGCTTTGTATACCTCTTCCTTTTTCTGTGTAAGTTGTCAGATTTTTTTTTTAGGATTTATATTTCATTTCTCATCTAAGCTGTTGCTGGATATAACAAACACTTTGTGTATTTTTTCTATGCAGTAGTATTGTGAAGAATATTACTTGGGTTTTTGTCTTTGAGAAAAAGGTTGTTTGGGAAGGAAGGCACATATAATGTTATATCTTAAATTGAATTTTATCAATGATGATTAGGAATTGGGTGTCTAACTGTCTAACTATGATAAATTATTTTTGTGTTCGAATTTCTAATGATATAATTGTAGCTTGTGGACCAATGTATGAGCACTTGTTACCCTTTGCGGTACATTGAATTTGTATATTTGCTACAATATCCATGGGATGGATGAATAACTTTTCAATAAAGAAGGTATCTGGTTTTCTTCAGTATTGTGTTTTTTTTTAGTTTTGTATTGAAAATTTGACTTGTGATGAATGTACGTCCACGAATGGGAGGCCAGTTTTACTTTAACTGGAGTTTCACCAACATGTCTGCTGACAAAACTGACTTTTTCACCACATTTACATTATGTGCTGAGTCCACACAATTCAGCCTATGGCTGCTATGTGTTTTGATCAATGAACTTTTCATTCAGCTGAGAAGCTATTTTTTTCATCTAACATAGTACATGTCAGCAGTGCTACTTGACCCCCACCCCGTCTAGATAGGGTTAAAACAGGCCAGACTGTATGTACGAATCTCAACGTTATCAGTTTTTGGCGAGATGTGGATGAAGAAAAGGTTGTACCTAGCCACTGCAAATCGATCAATCCCTAAACTCTGAACCCTAAGCTTCTTTTGACACTACTGCGGCCACCATCCTAGTTAGTTGATGTCCGCTCCCACAGTGCCTGGTTGGTTGTAGCGACTGTGGGAACGGACGTAAACTTACCAGGATGGTACCCAGGCTAGCTTTGGGAATGCCCATCATCACAATTAGAGGTTCAACCAATGAGAAAATGGCAATTAGCTGTTGGACCAATGAGAGAGCGGCTGCATGTCAGTCAAATATTTGCATTCCATTGTTTTGACGGAGGTGGGCGGGGCTTTAGGATCGGTCTTTTCCGCAGCCAGCTAGTGCTGAAATGCCATCCACTGGCGGGATGTGTCGGATTTGCGAGCGAACATTTGTACATTTTGCAAGCACTCCTACACATGATCCTTGAAAAACCCCACCACGACTACACTATGTAGTCAAACTGGATTCTAGATTTCACAAACTTGGATATTTGTAAAGATACAGATGTCGACTAGCCTGACTAAATCGCGCTCCTAGCGGCCTGTGCCCGCACGACAGTTGCCCAAGCTAGTGAAGCGATGGCTTGTGCAAAGAAAGGCGAAGATTTGGACCAATTACCCACTCTTCCCTTCAAACCAAGGAGGTTATAGTGTATATTATAACCTCTATGTTAAAAAAAACGATGAAGTCTTGACACACATTCGTTAATTCGATCTTTTCCCTCAAACTCTCCATGTAGCCAACAGAAATTTAGGAACTTTTTGTACTATTGTAAGATTGAAGAGATATTGTCTGTATCCCCCTGGGGCCAGGATTACAGAAAGGGGAGGTATTACTACGTACGATGATGTTATCTAAAAATGCTTGTCATGAATGCTATCGAAGATAGCCTTTAATGTAAAGTAACTACAGCTTTGGGGCGAACTTTTTCAATAATTTAGCTCCAAGGATCTTAAAGATGATATTGGAGTTTTCTCGGTTACTTCTTTTGTGCTTAAGAATCATAGACTAGCCCTAAACATGAACAGGTGTCCACGTGTGAGCCACTCGCTGTTAATTAATAATAAACCGGTCAGACGACTTTTCCTGAAGTGAAGACACTGCAGAGGACACAGCACTACTGGGTCAACATGGCGGAAAAGGTCCGAAAGAAGAGTCTGACACAAAGTATAGCCGGCTCGATCAGGGAAAGCCTGGCGGGGTCCAGGAGAGCTAGTCTGTCCGGGTCTGTCCGAGGACTGAGTGTAGCCGGATCGGTCACTGAAGAAACCCCAGCGGTGGACGCAAAAGCAGAGGAGGCAAACGCGGGAACTGCGGAGGGAAACACAACAACACAAGCCGAACTAGACACACCTGCAACAGACGCAGCATCTCAAGATGGGAGTAAACTCCGTAGGAAAAGTTTGACTCAAAGCATAGCAGGGTCTATCAGAGAAAGTCTATCCGGGTCCAGAAGAGGAAGCAAGGCAGGGTCCATCAAGGAAGAACCAGAATTGGCCACAGAGGCTACAGAGGAAAACACGGTCACAGCAGACGTACATACAAACACAGAAGAGGCGAACACAGAGCGAAGGAAAAGTTTGTCCCAGAGCATAGCAGGGTCTGTGAAGGGGAGTACAGCAGGCTCCAGAAGAGGGAGCAAAGCAGGATCGATCAAAGAAACACCAGAAGCGGGGACAAACGGAGAAACAGCGTCCACCGGCCGAAGGAAGAGTCTGACCCAAAGCATAATAGGCTCAATCAAAAGCTTAGCTGGGTCGAAAAGAGGTAGTAGAGCTGGATCACTCAAGGATATACCAGAAGAGGTGCCGCCGGAACCAGAGGAGCCTCCGCCGGTCATATTCGGTGGAAGAAACGTGCGTGTCAAGGACAAGTTTCGCTGTGTCTGCGGTCTTGCCGTGTCTAAGGACTCTGAGATATACATCGCAGACTGCTACAACGAGAGAATCGTCATCTACACTCCAGAGGGAAAGTTCGTCCGCGAGTTTCCAACCGTCGTGAAAGGTTTACTCAAACCCAAGCCGTTCCAACCGCAAGACGTAGCCATAGACAAGTACGAGAACGTCTGGGTTGTCGGTTCGCTGGCCATCCCGAAGAAACGTGGAGCAACAGATTTTGTCGTCCGGTTCAGCAAAGAGGGTGCCTTCGTCAGCCAGTTTGAGATACCCCATACGGGCACGGAATCGTTCCACGGCATCGCAGTGAGGCCCAACAACCTCTACAACCGGGAGAAAATCCGCACGGAGGAAGACGCCGACCTTCCGCCCAAACCTGACCTGGAGATAGTGGTGACAGAGCAGCGCGTCAGGCCGTGGGAGGGGAAGTGGTACGTTGAAAGCTGTGCGAAAGTCTTTCTCGCAGACGGTACGATGTACAAAACTGTCGCGGGGCGGACCAGGAAGGCGCGATACGCCGCGATCAACAGCAAGGGAGACATCCTCGTCACCGACGCCTGGACGCACAGGGTCTACACCATCATCGAAGAAGCAAAGGATAAAAGATTCGGGAGGCGAGGAACCGCGAACGGATTTTTGGACGCGCCGCACGGCATTTGCACCGACAGCGAAGACAACGTCATCGTGGTGGACAGGGGGAACAAGCGGGTGGAACTGTTCGACAGAGACGGGAACTTCATCCGGCACATCGCCGAGGATATGGCGGACCCGTGGGCTGTGGCGGTGGGACCGGACTTTGTGGTGGTCACTAATGTCGGTAAATGTGGCGTGGACGATGTGACGGTTATACAGTACACGGCACCGCCTGCGCCGCCGCCGCCTACCAAGGGCCAAGTCAGGTTTGCCGAGTCTGAATCTAGCGACTAGAGCCCCCTAATGAGAATTAAACTGTTCTCCGAGTCAAGAAAATTGACTCACCGGAATTTTCGACCGAATCACTCGGTCTTCGTCAGTTTTCTGACCCGAGTGCTACAGAGATGTGACTTTTCCCCTCATGTGAGTTCACACTGGGTCAAAGTTCGTCGGAAGTCGGTACCGCCCCCCGTCCCGGTTGTGAGACCCAGTGCTGACGTCACGCGTGGGAAAAGAGCACGCGTCTACAGCACTCGGGTCAGAAAGCTGGTGAAGACAGAGTGATTTAGTCGAAGATTCCGGTGTCGAAAATTTCAATTTTCTTGAGTTGGAGAACAGTCCAATTCGCAATATGTATTTTACCAACACAGATGAACTTTCATGCTATAGACTAAGCCCATGTCACACATTCACGACCTTCCCTGAACACCAGTCGACCAGGTTCGGTTGACGTTCGGGAGTAGTCTGACCAGGTTTAGGCTACGACTAACTTTGTTTACGAATCGAATTTGAGTCAAATTTGAGTCAGAGTTGACCACCGAATATGCTCCGAACACTGCTGACTTATTATATTCCCAATGGTTGACTGGTGTTCTGCTGACTTACAACCGAATACCAGACAACCATGTTTGAACCTCCTGACAAACTCAAGAATGTTTTAAAGCCGAATACGCCGACCACCAGCCAACTTAACGCCGACATACTCCTAACCACGCATGGTCGGGGGGCGTTCGGCTAGTGTTCGGGAGGCCAAAATACTTGAATGCGTGACGGGAGCTTAATAAGGAGTTTATTTACAATCAGAGACGTCTTCAGTATCATTCGTCAGGCAAGAGGGATGGTTGGGGTGTAAGTGTGATGAATAATAGACTACACTAAAAGAAAGGACACCAATTAAGTACGTGTAATGTTGAGGACACACCGGATAACATGTAATAAGTATCATATTAAGATGGCAGGCATGTGTGCTTCGTAATACAGATTTTTGTTAACGTAACAGTCATAAAATCAACACTATTTACATGTACATGTAGACATCTAGATAACTCGCCCAAATGTACATTGCCGTATTACATGTCGTGAAGAAGATCTTTGCTAAGGCAGGTTCAGAATTTGGAGTAGTATTGAAAATTATATTGAAAGTTAAGTTTGAGTTGTACATAAGTACAAGAAACGCCTTGACCTAGCTTTAAGATTTTTTTTTACAAATCTTTATTCAACAAAACAAAAGAGCGTACAAAAAGACAAACGATATAACATAAGAGTACACACACACTGAATTACATAAAAACATTCTACCCAGTCGATATATTTGCTAAATCCCCCCATTTTTTGTAGTGACTGATCATATTGTTTTGTTTACGTGCGATGCTTTCTTCTGTGGCTTTAAAATTATTTACAAAGGATTCAAAACTATACAATGAAATAGTTGCGGAATGACGATTCTTGAAAATATACACCTTTCCCAGTAATATTATAAGATTGCATATAATTGGTACTGCTTCATGATGATCACCCAATAGAATGTTCAACGGATTTTCTATATTAAGATACATGTAAAGTCCTGTTTTTTTGTTAAACCATTTCTGAACACTCAGCCAAAATTTAAACACCTTTCTGCAATCACAAAAAAGGTGTTTTGTTGTTTCTTCTTCTTCTGCACACAAGGCACACCAGGGTGTAGG